AGCCGTACCAAGCGTGCTTCTAAGCCCAAGGGCAGCCCAAGAAACTAGTTGAAAAACATCGTGTGAGCATTGTGTTTGCAAATGGGGGGGGCTGCGCCCCCCCCAACCCCCCCGCTTTTTTTCAGCCAAAGCGCAAGAAAGTAGTTGAAACCCATCATGTGAGCAGGGTGTTTGCAAATGGGGGACACAGCCCCCCCAACCCCCCCGCTTCTTTTAAGCTGTACCAAGCGTGCTTCAAAGCCCAAGAAACTAGTTCAAAAATATCGTGTGTGCGTTGTGTTTGCAAATGGGGGGGGGGCCTGCGCCCCCCCCCCAACCCCCCCGGTTTTTAAAGCCGTGCAGAGCGTGCTTCAAAGCCCAAGAAACTTGTTGACACCCATCATGTGAGCAGGGTGTTTGCAAATGGGGGGGGGGCGCCCGCCCCCTTTAACCCCCCCCCGCTTCTTTTAAGCCGTACCAAGCGTGCTTCAAAGCCCGAGAAACTAGTTGAAAAAAAAGTATGAATCCGATGAAAATATAGAGGGAATGATAGAAACCAAGAAAACGAACCAAATAGGGTTTTCCCTAGGACAAACTAAGGAAAAGCAACGTACGCTTTGACGTTTGACGAAATCCGTCCAAAATGTAATCAGAAGAGGGTTTCCTTAGGAAAAACCAACGAAAACCTCGTTTTTTTTCAAACCGTGCCGAGCGTGCTTCAAAGCCCAAGAAACTTGTTGACACCCGTCATGTGAGCAGGGTGTTTGCAAATGGGGGAGCGGGGCTGTGTTTTCCCCCAACCCCCCCCGCTTCTTTTAAGTCGTACCAAGCTTGCTTCAAAGCCCAAGAAACTAGTTGAAAAGCATCGTGTGAGACCCCCCCCAACCCCCCCGCTCTTTTTTTTTGGAAGCCGCGCAGAGCGTGCTTCAAAGCCCAAGAGGTGTTTGCAAGTGGGGGGGCTGCGCCCCCCCCCCCCAACCCCCCCCGCTTCTTTTAAGCCGTACCAAGCGTGCTTCAAAGCCCAAGAAACGAAGGAAATGACAGGATATCTGTCCAAAATGCAAGGAAAATAGGGTTTTCCCCCTAGGAAAAACCAAGGAAAACCTAAGGGAAATTACAGGAAATCCGTCCAAAATGTAAAAAAGAAATTGGTTTTTCCCAATAAAAAAACCGGCTAAAACCTAAGGGAAATGACAGAAAATCCGTCCCAAATGTAAGGAAAGTAGGGTTTTTCCTAGAAAGAACCAAGAAAATCGACCAAGAAAAAAAAAAGGCCCCCCAAAAAAAAGGACCCAAAAAAAAACCACCCAAACCCAACATGCGCGAATCGTGTTTGCAAATGGGGGGGGGGGCTTTTTTTGAGCCGTGCAAGCTTGCCTCAAAGCATATGCCATATGCACACATTTTCGGAAACCCATCATGCGAGAATCGTGTTTGCAAATGGGGGGGGCTGCGCCCCCCCCAACCCCCCCGCTTTTTTTAGCCGAAGCTTGCCTCAAAGCATATGCCATATGCACACATGTGCGGAAACCCATCATGCGCGAATCGTATATATAGTATGTATATATATATATATATACATATACATATACATAGTATGTATGGTATATATAGCATATATATATATATATACATATATATATATATGTATAATATAGATATATAGTATGCATAGTATATATAGCATGTATAGTATAATGTATATATATATATATGTATATGTATATGTATATATATATATATATATAATATTATAGTATGTATAGTATATATAGTAGATACAGTATATACAATACATACATATATATATATGTATTATACATAGTATATATAGTATATGTAGTATATAGATGACATATAGTATGTATAGTATGTATAGTATACATAGTATACATAGATATATAGTAAATATAGTATGGACAGTACAGCTTTTGTTTTTCCAAATAGACCCTATATACTACAGCAAGCTCGATTTTTATCTGAAACTCCGTGTTCTTCGTAAATTCTAATGAAATTCATGAGAAATCCTGGTTTGATGATTGCCTCTCAAACTCAGCTATTTTTCCTATGAAACCCCACTAAAAAATCACAAGAGGCGTAGCTTTTTCATTGAATTCTTTGATTAGAAATCCGGGTTTTCCTATGAAACCCCCTTGAAATACACGAGAGACGTACGTTTTCTTGGTAATTCTTTTTAGTTTGATGAAAAATCCTGGTTTTTCCTAGGAAATGCCATTGAAATTCACGAGAGACGTACATTCACGAAAGACGTACGTTTTCTTATTAGAATTTAATTCAATTCCTGACAAATCCTCGTTTCCCTATGAAACTCCAGTGAAATTCACGAGAAACGTACCCCGCCCCCCCACCCCCCCCCCACCTCCTCCCAACCCCCCCCCTCCTCCCCCCCCCCCCTCCTCCCAACCCCCCCCCCTCCCTCCCACCCCCCCCCCCCCCCCCAAAAAAAAAAAAACAAAAGTACCCCCCCCCCCAAAAAAAAAGTACTAAAATAATTCTCCGCCCTTTTAGTGTCGTTGCACAGTAAGGTACAAAATGGTACAAAGCGCCGAATTCCCTTTTGTGCTCCAAAGCCATCTGAAGGACCGGCGCTACCAGGTTCTTTGCACCAGCACCAGGGCAGCATGTTTCGGGCCGGTCCGGTCTATCGGTACACTTGGAGAGTTTCGGAGTGGAGCAACCTTGTTACGACAGCCAAAGATCCGAGCGAGTTCAGGTCTGGGTGGCAATGTGATTGACACAGTCTATCTGGCAGCCTCTTGGTATGGTTTGGTGGGTTTTGGAAGGTTCTGTTCTGGAAGTGAAGGTGAGGATTCGTTGTAAGTCTGGGGCCGGCAGCGCCAGCAGCTGGCCCAAAAAGCCGCGCTCCGAGCGGTACTGACCGTCGTATTCTAGCGTAGACGAAGCCGAAGAAGTTTGCAGATCTTGCTTTCCGGATACTTCAGAAAGCTCAGTTCAGGCCTCCGCCCGTCTTGGAGAGCTTCGGGACCACCTAAGCAAGCAGTGCCCTGGCCAAAATGTAAAAAAAGCAAGAACAATATCAACATTGAGAGAATGAGATACCCTCTCTGAGGGAATGTTTAGGAATTTCTGAGTCGAGAAGGGCTTGCGCCCTAGAGGGGTCCCCACCTCGAAAGACACCTGAATTTCGATCTTCGTAGCTCAGGCCAGGGGAGCTTCCTAGCACTTGAGCAAACCCTGAAGGGTTGGGGTCGCGGGCAGGGGTGGGCGCGGCCATTCGGGGAGTGGCTCACCTATTGCGCAGTCTTGAACCACATATATTCTCGGCGACCACAGTCCGACACCTGACATCAGCCACTCGATCCTCTTCGACTCTCAGAATTCTTTCTTCAACATCTCTTCTTTTGTCTATTTTGTTTTTCTTTGCAACCGCAGGCTGGTCTTGTCGAGGAACAGGCTCACGCTTCTTGCAGAGGCTGGACTGACATGCTGGGCCGGGAAGAGGGCGCGAAGGGTACGCTAGTACTGCCAACGCTATACAAGAGACTCGAAGAACTCTAGGGCGTAGCAGGGCGTAGCAGGGCGTAGTAGAGAAGCTTTGACTTGAAAATGCTGGTATGTATCCTGCTCGCAGGCCGGAACAGTACTCTCCCAGGATCGCGATGGTCAGGCGCTCGAAGCAGGGGCCTCAGATTCAGCATTCTGGCGATGCTCGATCGTCGACAAGCTTCAGAGCAACAGCAAGTTCTGGTCAGCCATGTGAGGTATTGGATTCTGCTGCGGCGCGGGGCGGAGCGTGATGCCCAAGATCGCCAGAGCAAAAAGCTGTGCATATCTCCTGAATCCATCATGAGAGTGCCATTCCGAAACCGAAAGCGGAAGCTGCTACTGGTAGCTGCTTTTCCTTTGGGTTTGCTTTGGGTTTGCAGCTATTCTCAGTGCTAATTGCAGCTGCTATTTGTCTGACCTTTTCGGATGGTATTCTCAGAGCCACCTAATTTGTTTGGAAGGAAGCTTCCTTGTTGCCGCTTCATGTGCAGATTCATAGCATCCACCTGATGCTGTGTTGTGCTGGATGCTCTACTCATTTGCCTCGGTTTGGCTTGCCTAGCTGCAGACATCTGCAGATCCGAGCGCAGCCTAGCAGGCACCCCACTGCCAGGCAATCTGCTCTGCTCCTGTCAGTTGTTGCTGTGAGTCCAATGTGCGAGTCATCAACGATCGCAGAAGTTCATGCGTTTCATGCGTTGGGCGCAGTTGCTTGGCCAAAGATGCAAGTTTTGAAAGCTGTGCGCAGAAGACTGTGCAGCTCAAAATGGACCATCGAGTCGAAAGCTCGTGAGGGCTTGCCATAAGCAACGGCAACGACAGTCACACCAGCCACACCTTACAATGTAGCACAAGGGTTCATGTTCCAAGATCGATTCTTAAACCGCTGATCACAGACGGGTCTGAATACTCCAGCAACGCAAGTGACACAGTTAGTCCAAAGCTCTGAGAGATTTCTGATGTACACGGACTGTAGATGCTTCGTGATCAGAATTGCTTTGCATGAGTACTTCGCTGGCTGTCTTATGTCGGATTGAAAGCAGGCCGAATGTTCAGGCCAGAGATGCTACAGGGACACTACGGACAAGGGATTCCGAGTAGGCAACAAAAATAGCAAAGTGCGAGATTATCTTTCGGCCTACCATGCCGTGATAGTGCTTAGGGGGGGGGGGGGGGGGGCGGGGGCGGGGAAGAGTGGGAGATGAGAGTGGCACTACCAAAACTTATCGTCACCATGCGTGACACCAGGCTGCCAATGGCCAGGGGTGGTACCACGTTCTGGTTTAGCAAGCCTTGACTGTTAGGATGGTTAAGACTAGATATCGTTTGAGCATGTTTTCAACTTGACAGATCTAGCCTCAACAGTACTTGGGTTCGTTCGCAGGTGGATCTGGTCCTACGGCCCCTCAGCCTGTTGACTCCCGTTGACGTGTAGGCTCGAAGCCTGAACTGCCGACTTCGTGCGCCTTCTTTGAGTCCGCCGAGTTTTTGCCATGGCGATGGAGAAAGCAACAGCTCTCCTGAAGGCCTCTGCTTGATCTGCTTGATTTGCTTGCTGCTTGCTGCTTGCTGTTGGCAGTTGTGAGGCAGGATGGAGCGGCAATTGCTGCGCAGTCATGTTGTTTCGTGATCGAGCAGCTCCCCCTCGAACAGAGTGAATGTTCTTGGAGCCCTAGAGTGAGAAGGAGTTTGTCAGCACATTGAGTTGGCAGTTACAGGATGTTACAGGTTTCCTTCAGGTTCCGAAGTTTGACACTTGAAGCTTGCGGAACCGCGGGAGGCCTTGCCTTCTGCCAAGGCCGAGGAAAGGGATTGGCAGAGTGGTGGTTATAAGTTGCAAGAGTGGATATTGGCCATCGCCTGCTTTGTCATGGTGCTTGTTGTGCTTGTGGTGCGAGAACGTGTCTAACATCGGGAGCACTATGCAGGTGCTGGGCAAATCATGAGTTTTGTTGGGCATCATTTTTGGGCTCTCAAATCCCGCATTGCCAGGTGTGCACCTCGATGAGCGCCGCGGTGAGTGCCGCCAATGCATCTGAGGACAAACCGTGACAACCCTTGACAGGTCAGTGCTCTGACAATTCTGTTAGAAGAATGAAAGTCCCAAAAGCATGGAGTTCGAAACAGCCACCACGCCAGTTTGGTGTGCGCTGTGAGCACTGTGAGCGGAGCAATGCGGGGTATGTGTTTACAATCAGATTCTCCTGTTCCCCTTCACCCACAATACACAGCCAACCTCAAATGTGAAGATCTCACACGCCACAAAGCTAGTGCAAAAATCAGCTAAGCATTGCAGTGAGACCTACAGGATGTCAAGTGCTGGGCAGTTCTCCAGCTTGGCAAGTCAAGTCTGTCCGAGGCCGGAGCATGGGCTTTGCATTGGCTCTAAGGATGTCTAGGCAGTTTGCTCACTTGGCAAGTCTCTGTTGATTCTGCTGGTCTTCTGGGCTGTCGGCCCGAGGTCCAGACCGCACTCCAGCAAGGATCGAAGCAGCTGGCCGTGCTTTTGGTGGCCACGCAGAAGCCCGTTTCTCAGCTGGAGGCAGGTGGTTGTCGAGGTTATCGGTTGAAGTAGTGCTTTCTGATATCCAGGACGGCACGTGACAGCTCCAGCGCTTCACATCGCTTCACATGTCGCTCCACTTTTTTGTGTTCTTGGACCGTTGGAGGTGCTTCGGGCCATGGAGTACGGCGGCGTCTATGTGGCTGCTGGGGAGCTGGAAAACTCAGGCAGATGCTGTACAAGGGACTCTTGACCAGAAAAGGGCTTGCAACATCAAAGCGCCAGTGCCGGCAGGTGACATCTTGAAGGAGGCTGCTGGCTACAGTGAGGGGCCCGCCTTCGTGCTCCTCGCTGCAGCAGAAGCCATCAAGGAGCAGTCACTGTGTTGCCACTGAAGGGGCGATAAGCAGCAATCTCAGCAATCTGGAGTGCTCCTGCCAGGGTGATGAGAACTGGACATCGTTCAGGAACATGTCTGCACTATTCTGCACTTGATTCGTTGTTTGGAGCGTTCACTTCGTAGGATGTCATGGAGCCTTTCAGTGGGTGCATCGGGAAACATCGCTTCTTCCGCGATGTTCAGCGGCTTGCCTGAGGTACGATCCCTGCAAGGAAGACAAAGGTGGGGAACCGGTGTGGGATTTCTTGGTCACGCAGGTTGTTCAGATCAGCTGGGATAATTATCGGCTCATGGAGGGCTAGGATTTTCTTGTGGTGCGGTGTATGCACAAATGTTAAAATCAAAGATACTACAAAGAGATACAAAAAGAGCATGCGTTTTTGGTCGCCCGTGATTGTTGGTTGGTGTGCAGACCTTTTGTCACACATGGGGTGTAGGGGTCGAAGTTACCTTGCAAGTTTACTCATAGAGTTCAGCGGTTTTATCGGGTGAAGCAGGTTAGAGAAAGGTGGATCGGGTGAATCCTTGAGTCCTGTCGAACCAGAGCATGAAGTCAAGCGTCAGCTCAAGGTAGCCCTCGGATTTCGGAGTCGTGTAGAGTGCCAGGATTGCCGGCCTTCTCTACAGACAGCACTCGCGTGCGTCAAGAGATTCAGGCCTGTCCTCAAAGCTCTCATTTCTCTCTCAAGTCCGGATGGACCTGCCAAGATGTGCATTCCCTGGTCAGGGTTTCCTCTCAAGGGAGAGTCTGCTGACGCTGATTGCGAAGAAGCTTGGAACCTAGTTATCGATGTTTTACTTTGTTGTGCTGCCGTGTTACTTGCAACCCAGGCCACGACATTGTGTCAACTTGTCAGGGCAGGATGTTTTTCGGGCCCCTTAGGTCTTAGTTTTCTATTTTGGGGTTGCTTCTTGGTCGCCACCCTAGCGGAGCTTCCTGTGAGCTTCTTGTCCTTCGTGGTGCCTCCCCTCGCTCTAAGCATGGGTTGCATGTCTGGTTTCGACGCTGATGACGCACCTGTTTTCAGAGGGTGTTCGGTTTCGTGTGTGGAAAGAAGATGTGCTGGGTGCGAGCAAGGTAGTCATAGCGACAGCAGAGCCCCAAGAAAGGTTCGAGTCGCACGAAGGTCGCTGCCATCCGCTGTGGCCGCTGACAGTGGCGATGCTGCTGCCCTCAGCGAAGGCCAACGATACAGAGACAGAGATGACTCTGAGATGACTCTGAGATGACCAATGAGAATACTGAGAGATGACGGAATAAACGATGCCTGAGATGACACGGATGCCGAGAGTTTGATCGCGGGAAGCTGGTCCAGGCCTTGCTGCGGCCTCCAAGACTGCTAGGGCCTGAGCGACATTTTGCCAGAGATTTTCTGGCATTCCGTGGATGGACGTTGTGGACATTTGTGGACATTTGTGGACATTTGTGCACATGTGTGCACATGTGTGCACATCTGTGCACATCTGTGCACATGTGTGCACACAGCTGTATGCATTGAGTTCAGAAAGTTGCCTTTGAGCAGCGTTTTTTTTTGTGTACACTTGGTGGTTGTGTTGTTTTGTGTTGCCCTGTGCAGCGGCTTCTTCCGAGGTGACCATCCTCTACTCGTCTGACACCGGCCATGCCGAAGAATGCGCCAAGGCAGTAGCGTGGCTCGGCAGGTCGATGAAGAACTCAGGGGCCTTCAAGGCGATTGGAGTTCCCTACAACCGAAAGCCTTCTGCAGTTGCTGATCATGCTCGTTGTGCGCTTGGATGCATTTGGATGCACTTCGCCCCGGCTTCGACATTTTCGTTGCTTGTGTCCATGGTTCACCGAGGCGCCAATGCCGAAATGGTGGCTACGCAAGCAGCGTAACCTGGCTACAAGCTGTGCTGCTGAATTATTGTGCAGAACAGCTTGCCACAAGTCCAGCCGATCCTTCTTTACAGAAAGGCTGTCCGCTGTGGCACCATGGATTCGTTCGACGTGGGCGCGCTCGCATCAGAGCCGCTGGTGGTCTTCTGCGTGGCTACAGCCGGCAAGGGCCGCTGTCTCAACAACTCATTATGCAAACTCCTCAAGCCGTGAAGCATTGAGTTTGTCAGTATCATCCCTGCATGCCGCAGCCTTTCGGCATGTTCCCCTTTTCGTTTTTTGGTCGACGGCGCTTTTGAGCATGTCTGGCTCATCTCCAGGTGAATTCTGCGGAAATGGCCGCAACCTGTTCGCCAAGCTTCAGGAGCCTTAGAGATGCCTTGCAGCCTTAGAGCCTGAGGAGCGAAACTCAGTGTTCCTGTGTCACCACCGGGGAACGTGCTGTCGCTGCCACACCGGTCGTTTATGGCTTTGGATATAAGGGGAGTGACCGTGAGTTATGGGGAGGTTGTAGGCAACAGCGCTGTCATTGCTCGACCATTGGACTCGCTCGGCAGGGCCCGGAGAGTGCAAACAAGGTGGTTGCATTGATGGGTGCCGTGGTTAATTTTAACGATACGCGACCCGCCTTGGCCCAGCACAGCCCCCTGAGCATGTGGAGTCCGTTGGGGGGGGGTTGGGGGGGGGGGGGGGGGGTGGGGGGTGGGGCATGGTGGGGCATGGTGGGGGGTGAGGGGGCCTGTAGCCCAAACTGCCCCCTGGTCCTGATGCACGGTCGCCTTCCGCACACGTGGTAGGGAGGGTACCCATTTCTCGCCAAAAAAGTGGCCAACAAGGGGTGCGCACAGGTTGGGGAGGGGATTAGAGGTGGTGCTTGCTTTGTGCTACCCATACACCTACGGCCCAAGGCCTCGGCGGATTGCGGCCGAACGGCGTGGAAGCGTGAGGGAGAGTGGGGCCAATGGTCAAATGATGTTACACGCTTCGCGATCGCGCATTCTCGATCTCATATGACCTCATAGTCATAGCCTCTGCCCTTGCACAGATGTAGGACCCCTTACCCTGCATCGACGTCCAGAAAGTGAAGCAAGTTCGTGTTCATTTCGAAATTCAAGATGCAGTGCGAAGAACTCATCACCTTTGAAAACCATATACTTCTTCTGTGCCGTGCCTGCGCGCTCTTTCGTCTGAAGAGAGCTAGCTATCTTGCAAGCTCGCGCCTGAACATGCAGCGCGCATGTTCACCTGGGGCTCATGCTCCATCTCCGGCTCCATGTGCTCAAACTCGGGGGCAGCAACAAGATGAAACAACCCCGTATGCCCCTTTATTCTATCTTGTGTTTTAAGGTTTTGCTTGGTTTTGCTTGAAAAGCGCTCCGCAAAGACGTGCTTACAAAGATGCTTATATCGCAATTCTGGGCACGATGTAGCGAAGCGCAGGAGCGAAGCGATCTGTCTCTCAGCGTGGTGGACTCAGCAAGCTTTCCCCCTTTCCTTGATGGTTGTCGGACTGTGCCATCGAAGGCATCTGCAGACTGAGGATCTCAAGTACTGCATCTTTGGTCTCGGTGACTCGCACTACTGGGGCAAGGGCACGGAGGCGCGTGGGCGGCGTGTGGAAAGCAGGAAGGTCCACAGGCCAATGCACCCAGAGGCAGCGGCAACGATGTCAAGCAACTTAATTGCCTTTTTGCTTGATTTCGCAGATTTCGCACTGCGTGAGGAGTCAAAGTTCAACTTTGCTAAGCCAGCACGTGACCTGGACGACTTGCTCGAGAAGCTCAGCATTGAGTTGAGGGGTCATGGAGTCATGGGCTTTTGGCTATTAGATGCTGTGAGACTTAGGAAGTTCCCAAACTGTTTCAAATAGCAACACAGGAAGATGGGGGCCCAGCGCATGATGCCGACGGGCTTTGGTGACGACCAGGACAACTGTGACAAGCCCCAAATTTTGACGATGAGCGTCTCATCCCCAAGAACCTCTACGTGGAAAACAAATGAGCGGATATCGGTACGCCTAAGCAGAATGTTGTGTCGGTGCCAGTGCGCAACTCCTTCTGTTCAAGACATGCTCTTGTAGGACACTGACCAGTATCACACTGGCTTCGCTGAGTGGAAGGGCCAACTCTTCTCCCGACTCGGCGTGGACAAGGCGGCACTTGTCATGTAAGCACGCTCTGTTCGACTGTGAACATGCTTCGTCTGCTAATTTGTCTGCCAAGGCAAAGTCTCCCTAGCTGAAGCGCATTGAAGTTCATTGAAGCCGCCTTGATCAGTTGATCTCAGAGCACTCTGGAGGCCGATGCTGCCGGTGGCGGTGATGATGGCCCGGTGAAGACCGACGAGCAGATCAAGGCTTGAAGCTGCAGCGTCGCGTCTCTTGTAGGACATGTGTGAAATCTGCACATGTCCTTATATAATTTATATACCTTTGCGTGCACATCTTTGTTCGGCCCGCCTCTGTACTTGTGCAAAATCGTTCCATTGGGTTAAGAGGCTATGATGGTTAAGATTTTTTCTTGGGAGTATCCTCAGCATCTCCAGGTGGAGACCAAGCAGCTGCGCGGCAGCATGAAGGCAGGAGGCCAAAATCTAGGTGGCTTTTAGAAGTGTCAAAAAGAGAGAGGGACTGGATGGCTTTGCTCTTCAGCTTGCATCTTCCCTGCTCAATGCAACCTTAGTGATGCTTATCTCCGACGCGAGTAAACGAGAAAGAATAGTAAATAGAGTCAAGCCTTCACAGGAGAGCCTGGATGACATCACCACCGGTCAGATTCCATTCCAGGACACGTGATTCTGACAATGTACACACGTGATGATGATGATGATGATGATGATGATGATGATGATGATGACGATGATGATGATGAGGATGATGACAATGATGATGCTGACAATGATTACAGGGCTGCTGCTGCTGCTGCTGCTGCTGCTGCTGCTGCTGCTCATGCTACCGCATTTTCCGGCGACGAGGATTAAGACGAGGATCACTAGGACGAGGATGAGGACGAGGATGAGGACGAGGAAGAACCAGGACGGCGGCGGCGGCGGAGGAGGAGGAGTAGGAAGTGGCGGAGGAGGACCAGGAGGGCCAGGAGGACCAGGAGGACAAGGAGGACAAGGAGGACAGGGAGGGCAGGGAGGACAAGGAGGACAAGGAGGCGCAGGCGCGGCCACGGCGCGCAGTGACGAGCATGACGAGATGGTTATGAGCACGGCGAAAACGGCAACAATGCCGTGCCTTGTGTTATCCTGGTGACCCCACGTAGAACCCTAGAACATCAAGCCTTGAGGCCCTCCTGATTCTCCCTGTCTCATCCAAACGGGACTAGCTGCGCGCACTTTCAGCACGGAGAGAACTCTACGAAGGCCATTGAAGCTGATTCGGTGAACATTGTTGAGGCTTTGGGAGCTGAGTGCAGAAAGCTTCTCTGAGCAAAGGTACGTAGCCGTGGCCATTTTTTGGTGTAGAGCTTGAATAAGGTTTTGTGGCAAGGATGCATGTGTGTTGACGTTTTAGAAAGGTTACCTGCAGAAAGCCTGGTAAACACCGATGTATACGGCTTGTGCCGTTGCACATGAAACTTGCCACAATCAGAGAGCATCCTACGGCCTCGAACATGCCGCTTGGCTTCTAGTTGTTCTTCTTGTTGTTGTGGCAAGCCGCCACGGCTAGCAGAAGGCAGGTAATGGTCGTGAAACGGGTCGAGGCTAAGCAGCTAGAGCTCCGTCAGGCCTCCTACGCTTAGCGTAGAGGCTGTAGTCAGCTGACCACGGTCGGCTGTAGGAGTTTTCACTGTTCTGCGGGGTGAAAGGAGTACCCTCACTGCTTCGTTGAGTTTCAGTACACACAGGGGAAAAGCCAGTGCATGGCTCATTGTCAGAGCACCTAAAACGTTTTGGAGCACTCGTGAGGCACTTTTCTCGAGCGCGTGCTCGCGAGTTTCACGTGCCCAGGCGAGCATTCGCTATAGGGGAGGTTGGCTAACACCAGAACTCGTCCAGCACAGCGGTTTGGCACCGCCACTGCTTCCGGTTGCGGAAACAGGTGGGGCGCACCGTGTTGCACCTACGACATCGGGACGCTCAAGGCAACAGCAATCGTCGGCAATATGCAGCCGAGAAGTCAAAGATGATATGTGTTTCTTCAACGGCCTGCAGTTCGGCAGCGTCGCGCCCACGCTGGCCCTGTTGATTTCTCCTACAGCTTCGTTCGGCCATGGGGTGCAGATGCGTTGTCAGAGTTGGAACACCCCTGTCGGACGTCAAGCCGTGTGCAACCTGCTTGTACGTGTTCTGCACTGAAACGTTGAGCGCAGGCATCTGCGCCGCCCCCCCCTGTGGAGTCAACGCTAGCTTTTTAACGAAGGTGCTTTTCTCTTTGGGCCTACACGAGGGGTCGGTGTCCATGTCGTTAAAGGTGTTGTGAACATATATAGGATGGGCCCCGGAGCATGGCATGTTTTGCCATTGCTCTAAAAAAGGGACGAAGGAGGTACGTGCGGTTATCGCAGGGCAGTCCCCCATGCCAATCAACGCTGGTCCTTTCTGTGTTTCATCTTTACACTGCTTACCGTAGGATCGTCCTCTTCATCTTGTAGTGCAGCTATTCAGTTGCTTTTCAGCCTTGCCATTTCTAGCTACGTGTTTCCAATATGTTCATTCGCATGCTTTCGATGTAAGTCATCGCCGGCAATGGGCAGACCCTGCTCGCTCAACGTTCGAAAAGTTGTAGTTGTGATCGTCCTTGTGGTGGTGGTGGTGCTGGTTAAAGAATACCAGTCTTGCATGGGCCTTCATGTTTCCTTCGTGATGCACAAAACAATGACCAGTCAGCCGCTTTTGCCGTGCAACTCCATCTGGCAAGTAGGCTCCGGGAGTGCGGGGAAAGGAAGCTGGCGACTGTTGAAACGCCATCAAGTGGGCGCTCATGCGCTGTCATGCTCCTCTTGAAGCACTTGAAGCAAGCGGGCATGGGTTCCTTCGGTCCCTTCCAAGAAAGCGGAAAGCACGGCAGGTCAGCTGTCTTCTTACAACGCCGAGAAGAGTGTTGTGGCTCAGCACAATCAACATACAGTGAGAGCACAGCAGACCTAGAACCGGCAAGATAAGGACAGCCTGAAGGAAGTGAAACCTTTCAGTCGCCCACAGCCTAACAGAGAGGCTGAGTTTCCGTAGCAATCAACAAGAGTGTCTTGGTTATTGCATGTGCATGCGCGAGTTGTGGGAGAATGCTGCCCACATGCTTGGCTGGTTGTGGTGATGGTGGTTGTGGTGTCAGTGGTGGTCGTGGTGGTAACGACGTCGTCGTCGTCGTCGTCGTCGTCGTCGTCGTCGTGGTCGTGATGTTTGTTGTTGTGGTTGTTGGGGGGTGTTGTTGTAGCTGAAGAAGACACTTGTTGATTCATGTTGAATTGCCTTGGCTCGTTTTGTTCATTCTGCACCACAGAGGACACCAAACTGATCAAGTCTCATGGCAGCTACCAGCAGGAGACCAGGGTGCATGCAGGGTAGGGAGAATGAAAGGCAGGCTTGTTGTGGTGCTTGTTGGGGTGTTTGAGAGCTTGCTGCGTGATCGTTGAGTGTTGTAGCGACGAAGTTTTACATGTGCACTGTGGGAGCAGGCTGATGTTGTTGTTTGCCCTACATTTAGACGGAGGATGACCGTGATCTTCGTGAAGAACGGCAGAAGATGGGCGTCGAAAACGTCACTTGGCCATGATTTTTGCACATGTTTCTGCTTGTGGAACCCGGCATCCCTCTTGAAAGTACCAAAAGACTACTTTTCGAATATAGGTAAGGAAGCAGCAACTCGTTAATGCATCATCAGCTGCACCAGGCCTTTTCCTTCATGATCCGTGTCTGAGCTGCATGGAAGGCATTCCGGGAGATGGATAGTTCTTCCTTGTGAGATCGTTTCTAACATGTTGACCATGGGCCGAGGTGTGCGTCTTCCAGGAGGCTTCTGCACTGCCGAGCAGTGGATTGCCATGGATGTGCCTTGCATACATGGTATGGCTGTCCTTGGCACTTGTCGAATGTACGTGTTGTTTGGTGGCGAGGAATCCGAGGAAGAGGCTCCAGACAGCTAATTCTCGCGATTGAAATGGTAGCAGGCTCTTGGGGCATCTGAGGCACAAGGTGAACGAAGAGAAAGAGCAAGAGAAAGAGAAAGAGAAAGAGGAAGAGGGCGAGAGCGGGAGCGAGAGCCTGTGTAACCATGTTGGCTTAAGTCGGAGCATGTTGGACCCTGTCCTCCCTCTACGAGATAGAGCTTGCCCGCCACGGATGACCGATGGCAAAGACCAGATATGCCGTGTTGTAGGACTTCCGTGCACGAGAGGGGATAGCAACAGCAGCAGCTCCGACAAAGAGGGGCCGAAGCAGGGTGGGGCATGGTGGGTCTCAATCTAAGCCCATTTCATCTGGGTAGTTTCCCGCAGATATAATGTATATATATATATGGATATATATATATATACATACATACATACATACATACATATATATATATATATATCCCTTATAAAGCCCCTTACACAACCCGAATATCACCCTGCCCCCACATGAGCATATCCTGCCTGACCGTGTACTATCCGGGAACAGTTTTGCCACGGGTGCTGCAGAGTCTGTCCGAGACCGAATTGGAATCCCATTGAGGCTGGGCATTACTGGGTGGGGCCACTCTCGTGTTGATCCGCCCAAATCCACCTCAAGGAGGTGCAGCCCTGTGTGCCGTGTGCCCCCCATGCAGAAGAAAAAGAAGACGAAGAAAAAGAAGAAAGAAGAAGAAGAAGAAGAAGAAGAAGAAGAAGAAGAAGAAGAAGAAGAAGAAGAAGAAGAAGAAGAAGAAGAAGAAGAAGAAGAAGAAGAAGAAGAAGAAGAAGAAGAAGAAGAAGAAGAAAGAAGAAGAAGAAGAAGAAGAAGAAGAAGAAGAAGAAGAAGAAGAAGAAGAAGAAGAAGAAGAAGAAGAAGAAGAAGAAGAAGAAGAAGAAGAAGAAGAAGAATAAAACGAAGAAGAATAAAACGAAGAAGAATCAGAAGAAGAAGAATTATAAGAAGAAGAGTAAGAGGAATATTCACATGAACAATCAACAATCAACAAGCAGCTCGTGCGGAGCCTCCCAGTCTTCAAATGCGTAACTTCACTACTCGGATAACGGAGGAGCTTTCCGAGCTTTCGTGGTTTAAGGATAAGGTTTTAGGCTTCAGGCGGCTTCAGGGCTTTCTTTGGTCTTCACTGACTACGTTCAAGGGTTACTTAGGGTCTGGAGGGCTTCGGGCTCCCGAGACTAGGGTTTCGGGTTTCAAGCCTTTGAGGTTCCCCACATCACTTGCGCGGCGCCCGCCCGTTCAGGATTCTTTCCCAAATGTCTGTGTCGTGGTCGTCGATGTTCCGGGAGTGCCCACTTCCATCCCACTACATGTCGCAATTAAACTAAGTTTGCCTTCATCTTAAAGAGTTGGAGTGGTTGTTGAAGTGGGTTTATAGAATTTCTCAGGACATCTGCCAGAACTTCGCCAATGGCACTTTGAAGATCACCACGCGACAGACCTGGCAGGCGCTGTGACTTAGGCAAGCCAAGCATATATGAACTTTCTCGATAGTTGCTTGGCTATGATTTATCTGATGTATGTGCTGAATCTCTTTTCTGTTGTCGAAGTCAAGTGAGAGTTTGGGGATGAACTTGAGGACAGTATGTTCAGCGGCAGAAAGCCTTCAAGTCTTCATCCATCATCTCAGTATATTCTTGAGTCTGTTCTGGCCGAGGTGTTCATTCCGCTGGCTGTCAGCTCTTCTGGGGGGGGGGGGGTTTGTAGGGTCACCTAAATTTAGTTCAGGCATCACAAGCCCAAAACCTAAAACTAAAACCCTCGGTTCTCAATGAATGTGAAGATTCATGGCGTTGTGCCAAGCTCGGGGCTAGGCACATCAGCTTCAGGCTTCATGCTGTGAGGATGTGCCTTGGAGTCCGAGATTCCCAAATCGCTCCATTAACATCCAAATTTTTCAGACACCCCCCACTGAAACCACCCTCACAACCCCCTTAAAAACCTCAGCCCTACAGTAGACAGGCATAAACAGGCCGAATCACTTTGGGTGGTTCTGCTGTGTTTGGCCTCCGGAGTATACATGCAGTCAAAGAAAGTGCAGCTGTGCTTCCAGCCGCATGAAGCAGGCAGTTGGTCTGGGTTTGGACAACGAGCAATGTGGTGGGCCCCGAACCTGCCCTCCGAAAGCTCTTGAGTCTTGACGCGCAGGGCCTGCTCAGGACTCCATGATTCTGTTAGTCAGCCATGGCTGTTTAGAGCCACGGCTGTTAGTGCCCTGTTTAGGCTTCTGAGCTAAGCCCGCTTTGAGTCCTTGGAGTCCGAGTCCCAGTTCGGCAGGTCCACGGGGTCTTGAAGCGCAACGCAGCTCGGTGATGTTTGCGTAAGCCAGCATTGGGGAGTGTACTGTGAGCGGAGAAGCCCTACTCAGATGTGTTTAGATGAAAGATGGCAAGTTAGCCAGCACATCTCGATTGTATGTCCCAGAGCTTTCTGTGGCAGTGCTTGGCGAATATCCTGTAGTGATTTGATTGTGCCAGGTTTCGGCAGGGTGCTTCTTCACGAACTCCACACAGTTCACATATGACAGGATCTTGCACCTGCTGCAAGTGTATCGCTAGCAGCTTGTAGCAATTGTACTTCGGACTGTGAAGCCGGGATCTCATGAAGAAAGACATGAGAGAGAGAGAGAGAGAGAGAGCGAGATTCAGAGTGAGAGAGACAGAGTGAGAGGAGAGTTGAAGCACGAGGTCCGGTCCATGATAATGCGACAGGGGGTGGACTGAGTCAAGGGGGGGCATCATGCGAGCCTCGGCTCCCATGTTTCCTAATGAAAGAAAGAGAGACACTGCGTTTGTTTGTATGTTTGTTTGTTTGCGAAACATATCCTCGGAAACCCGCAATGCCATGACCCTCCACTCCCTGCCACCCCCGCTCCCTACAAAGACAAGCCTATCCAGGTGAAGGCCACGATGCGCGCCATGAACAAGGCCCGTGCTTCAACCTACGGACCGCCAGAGATTGCAAGGGCCTATAAGGGCCGTCAACTGCCCGGCACTGGTTATCTTGAGCTTGCGATGGATAGACGTCAGGAGAAGTTTAGGTGCTCGGCTTTGACACTAAACCAGCTAAACTTTGCTACTCCTGCTAAACTTTGAGGGTCCGGACTGCACAGGCCTGCATGGACACTTTGGCTGCTTGCGGCGATGTTTGCCGCAACGTGCTGTGCACGTCCCGTCCGGACGTCTGTGCTTCGTCTGGAACTGTTTGCTTGGCTGACATGGCCTTCTGGCTGTTGAGATTGTTAAACAATGTATCGCCAAGCATGGAAGACTCAGGCTCTAAGGAGCTGCACGCAGAGATCTTGCACTACACCTACGAGATCCACGATCACTGCCTGCCTCGTTGCTGGTCCAGCAGATAAGAGTGATAAGAGCCATGAATAGCCTAGCGACTTAGTAGCAAAGGCATCCAGATCAGTAGACTCTAGACAGGACGGAGTCCCCATATGGGCCAGACCACGCCAGCGATGAACACCAAGAAACTCAGTAGTTCGTCGGATACATGACAGGGGAGGCACTACTCCTCGTTGAGAAGAGGTCGGCATACGATCACTAATCAGCCCAGCCAACGAGTCATTGCCGTCGGCAGCAAGTTGTTGTAAGCAGATCAACGAAACCGGGCAAAGCCAGACTGGTGAAGCCCAGGGTCTGGTGCCTACCACGAGATCTTCCTCATGCAAGGTCCACTGATCATGCGCGTCAAGCGCGTGGATATTGACGGAGTACCATTTCAGGATGGTTTCGTGCAATGTTCAGAGGCTGCAAGGTTCACGATTGACGCTTACATAAGGCGTCGGTAGCCAGTTCTGCGTCACCACCTTGTATTCAGACTCCCTGGTTTGAGGTGACGAGATGGCCGAGAAGATCCAGATCATGGGCTCCACTCCGGTCGAGGAGGAGTGCGGAGTCGAGTGCTACAACAATTCCTGAAGTTCTGGAGCATACTAGATATACTGGAGCATTCAGAGCACTGCCCAGGAGCCTCTCTATGGCCTCACCTACCTGCCGCGAAAGTTCAAGGCCCCGGGCAGGGCCAAAGCAATCATGGCTATGCTGGCCACTCTAGCTTCTTAGGAAGGGTCGCCTATCTATTGATTCTTCGAATGCCTGTCATCTGATTCTTGAGATGTCAAGCAGTAAGCAGTGGGGCTTCCAGTGTCTCCCTCTGTGGCAAGCTTGTGGTTGCCTGACAAACGAAACATGTAATAAGCCGGGCGGCTCAACATGCTCAACATGTTCAACAACTATGACTTGTTTGCTTGATCTACCTCTGATCTGCAATCTTCTTCCTTGAGGTAGCCGTGGCAATTCCTCCCAGCAATGATGTGGACCTCTTCGCGCACTGCGCAGGCAACATGCCTTTAGCCGTGTGCGACATGTTCAGGCGGTGGACCTGAAGATGAAGTGTACAACTCGCAGCGATACACGCCAGGGAACCATCATGATGAATATCTGAACATTCATCTTTTGACTTTCGGTCTTTTCAAGGGACCGGTGGTGCCTTGCAACGTATTGTAACTTCGTTACTCAGTGGCTCAGTGATGCAAGACCGGCATGGTCCATGACCCCGCTCGGCAGCGGATTAGTGTCAGGTTTGGTACTGTTGCACCTGCCGCGCACGCACACTCGCGCAAGCTTGATCTGTTTTCAGGCTTCATTGCCATCATCCAAAATGGCAAACTGCTAGGCAAGGATGCGGGCGAGAGACCGATGTGCAGCGAATGAGTCAGAGCAAGTGCATCTTTTTCGCATCCTTCGTGGCACCTTCGTGGTGGCACCCAGATCTGAGTGGAGGCTTCAACGTTACCGTGGGTGGCGGCCTTGGCTTCACCCACAACAACCAGCCGCTGGGTCAAAGAAGCAGGGCCAGGGTTCAATCATGGGCTTCGACTTCAAAGAGCATTTGCTTTAGCAAGGCTGTAGCAAGGCTTTAAAGCAGCTTTAGCAGATAGGGTGTAAGAATGTATAAGATGTTGGCAGCCGTTGTCGTTCGGTTCACATGCCAAGGAAGACCCATCCTCGACTTGCAGATGTGATCGGCAGTCTGGCAGGACATGGGAGGTTTGTTTTGGCAGCTAGCAGCTTGCAACGCCGTTAGCAGCTGCTCCTCTCTTCAGATAAGCTGTAGGAAGTGTTGCTGAGGTTTCTGCAAGCCTGGTGATGCGCGCCCTGTCTGCACGAAGACGAAGGGTCAGGCGTGCCAGGAGCTCTAAGGCCTCTAGGGACAGCTCGTGGAAGTCCAGCGATACTTGGGCACGCCGAGTGGCATGATCACGGATGAAAACAGCCAATGTTAAGCTGCTTGACAGATTCCTATACAAGGAAGTACGTGTGCGAGTGCATCCTGACCGTTGCCCGCGACTTCGGTGACCGCCACTTTGCAGAGTTTAAGGCCAAGCAAGGTTGCCAGCAGCTGTCGGTATATGCTACGGACATCCGTCAAGCTTTTGTTTGGGCTTTCTCCAAGAGCTCCAAGAAGCTACAGAGTACATTCGGTTTCCTCTTCACTGACCACATTCAGTTTCCAACTCGCCGGCCCCGCTTCTCTCCAAGGTACGGGCCGAAAGCATGCGCGTGTGAAGTACACAGTGGAAGACTACGGTGCGGAGTGGTTCAAGGAGCGCACCACCTCTTATAGCTCTTCTCACCTTGCAACGAAGGCAGGGGTTGTTTTGGATGGTGCATCCTTGTATGCCGCAAGGAGCAGGTCGAGGACCGCCTTGGCTTCAAGCTGGAGCCTGCCCTGGGCCCAGAACATCCCACGAGTGGGGAAGCCTGTCATTGTGTCTCTGTCCAGGCGAAGCCATACAAGATTGAGCATCGCGGTGACCTTCACGGCTGGGCCCTCAGAGAAGCACGAGGCACAACTGTCACAAGATACATATTATGAACGATGAGAGATTTTGTGAGCATCTTTGACCCTGTGAGATATTCTGAGTGTTTTTCAGGCTGGGTCAAGGCCAGCGATGGCACCTGGAGCTGCGGTCTGCTGATCCCCATCGGCCGTGTCAAGGAGCATGTGACATGGCTCTTTTGTCTGTCTCGAGGCGGTTTAGGTACCGAAGATGTCACCAGTCAGTCCGTTTGCGTGCGTGCGTACACGCGTGCGGCAGGAGAGCAGCCGCGTTTGCCTGCGCAAGATTGCCGAAGAGTTGAAGGGTAAGGAGAAGGCAGGCTCTCTCCAATTGACTTATGGGTGCTGATATACGCTGCATGCATACAAAGCACACAGTCTTCGATGTGAGTCCGCTCTCGGCTTCTGTTTCTTTGCTCCAAGGCACCAACAAGTATAGTCTCCTTGAGCATCATTCCTCGGCACCAGAACCCAAATTGAACCCTACGTGTCAGAACTGCCGCCTGTTGGCACTGAGTCAAGTCTGGCAGGGTGGTTTCCGCATGACGTGCAACCAGTCCCTCGTTCTGGAAAACATCTCCGAGGCCGCGGTTCATGCATTGATGCTCTTCATGGGCTGCTTGGACATGGCTGCAAGAAAGCCGGGTTTGCTTCAGAGCCTCCACCGACCAGTCGCACGATGGACTTGGCTAGGCCAAGAGACCTATTATCCAAAAGCTTCTGGACGAGTACAAGGTGATGCACAGCAAGGACTGCTGAGACGGTGGCCAGACAGTATGGAGCTTCCAAGCACGCCGTGATTGGGAGGAAACCACCGTCAGCGGTTTGCGCCGCAACATGGTTGCCTGCCGCAAGCTCAGCCAGATCAAGTCCCGGCGTGCACTACATGGGGAGACAATCACGCATGCTGGCCTCCTTCCCTGTGTTTTGGTTCCATCATTTTCTTATCTCAACTGTAGTGATCAGAGGGATCGCAGCTGGAGCTTCGCATCGTTATCGAAACCAAAGCGACGTTGTCGTTTTGTCGTTTGTCGGTGCTTCAGGCGCACCGAAAACCAGCCCACGCTGGCCAGAACCCAATCATTCCCAGGTGTCGCCCTGCCCACTTGCCCGCTGGCGTTCGCCGAGGCGCGCCTGTTTTAGGCCATTAGGTTGGATTGTTTCTTATCAGAAGACCCACGATCGGGCACATGTGTGCGGGGTCTGAGTCAAGGGCTCAAGGGCTTCTCGTGCACAAACTGTCTAGAGGAAGAGACTTCCACTTCGTTAAATGTGCAGGTTGCGTTTGGCAGGCAGACCTTGAATCCGTCTCGATTTGTATACACAGCTCAGGCTGAACGATACTTGCCAACTCTCGTGGAGCGCTTGGAGGCGGTGACCGATGCTGTCGGCTTGGGCCAGGCGAAGATACGCGCACTGGCTTGCTGTGCATGTGCAATGTGTCTACAATGTGTGTTTGTCGAGTCTTCTTGTGTTTTGTGCCCTGCGAGGAGGACATTGTCATCCGTATGACTGGCTGCCCGAATTCCTGCGGCAGGCCGACAATGGCCGTGTGGAAAGGGAGCTTTGAAGCCCAGAAGCTGCGTGAGCTTTCCGAGGCCTTCGATGGCCGAGATTGGGTTCATTGGCAAGGCTGTTTGGGTCCGCACAACACGTCTGAAGAGCTAGTTGCATGCCATGGCCGGTCTCCTCAACTGGTAAGTTTTGCAGTGCATTGCCTGGCTGTAGTGCCTTCTGTTCCTTCTGGCCATGAAGTGCTGAGCCCCACTGTACGGCAGCATTTTGTTGTTCCAGGCTCCTGGCACCTACAACATGTACCTAGGCCCGGGCTGCATTTCCCGAAATTATGCACAATGTGATGGTGCGGTGCTAGGAGATGCCAAGAGACGTTTGCCTTCTTTCAGCTGATTTAGAGTGTCCTGAACTTGAAGAACGAGTCTCCGGCGGTCTCTGTGGCTCAAAACATGAAGGCCGTGCCTTGCTGTCCCGGGGAGGTGCCGACTTTGTGGGCCAGCGCTTGAACACTCTTTTCGCAGAGTCTGTCAACGAGGCATGCTCTGGGTTTCGGAGAATCAGCGAAGGCGAGACAGGCCAGCGTACGCAAGCAGAGTGGCTTATTTTGCAGGACCAGATCATCCAGATCCTTACCCCCATTTTTGGCCGTTTTGCCAAGGCCTCCGTGTGCACTTGCTGTTGAACTCGTCCTGGCCTTTTTTTTTGTTGAGGGGAAGGGGGGGGGGTTCCAATTGCCAGGAGAACCTACTTTCTCGACATCTGATTAGGAAACCTCTTTTTCTCTAGATGTGCTGAAAGTCCGAAGGAAGAACGAAAAGGAAAGAAACAAAGAAAGCAAGAAAGAAAGACAGCAGAAAGAACCAACGAACAAAAAGAGTGCAAGAAGAAAGACCACATTATTCAGAATAGGAAGTAAGTTGAAGTCAGAGCGAGAGAGTGAGAGAAAGATAAATGAAGACAATCAAGAACAAAGGCCGCAAATGATAGGTAAATAAATCAAGAAATCAAGAATCAAGGAACAACAGTTAGTCAAAGAAATCAAGAAAGAAAGAAAGAACACGGAAATAATGACAGAATGAGTAACGAAAGGAAGACTAAAGCAAGAATGAGCGATATAAATAAACCTGCAGGAAGAAGGGAAGACTGTCAAGATTACTATTGCTGTTGCTGTCAGGCGCCCTCCACCGCCACCCTGCTTTGAATGTATTGTAACCTGTGCAATCTTGCCTTGTAAAGAACAATAAAGAACATCAGCCCCTGAAGTGGACTTGCGCTTAACAACATACGAATTCTTAATTTGGGGCACCCCCTCCCCCCCTGCTTTAGTGAGTTTTTAGCCTTTGCACCCAGGAAGAGGACGTGCATTAAAAAAACCCTTCATGTGAGAATTGTGTTGCATGTTTGGGGCGGGGGCGGGGGGTTGCACTTATTCTGTGGACCCGCAAGCTTGCCTTGTGAAGATGATCATGGGCTTGCACTAAAAGCATACAATCCTTTCTAAACCCGTCATGCGAGCATTGTGATTGCAAATGGGGGGGAGGGGGGGCCCCCCCCCCCCCCCCCCCCCCGCTGTTTTCTGGGTCCCCACCAACCTCCCCGCATTTTACGTTGCTTCTAACCCATGCAAGCTTGCTTTGTGGCTTTGTAAAGAGCATCAGCCCATGAAGAGGACTGTCGCTTAACACGCACGAAGTCTTTCTAAACCCATGGTTGCAGCATGGTGTTGCTGCAATTTTTTCGTTCTTGCCTTCTGTCTGTCTATACAATAGAGATTCTGCCAGTCTAATACGGAGGGCGTACAAATAGAGTGGTTTTCCTATCAACATACCTGACACGGGCCTCGAACCCAAATGCAGACACGTGTCACGTACCCTGCGAACAGAGCAGACGCAACCCGCATTTTTCTTGTCTGTATTTTCTCATCTCTCATCTCATTTTCTTCTCTATCCATCTTGTATTCTTTCTCTTGTCTCGTAAAGTATGGAGACTTCCAGCCGTTTCCTGAGGAATTGTTCCTATTAGAATAGTGAGAAGAAGTTTATCTAGAGAAATGGGTCAACAAAAGGATAAACAAACCATCTCCAACGCCCTTGCAAGCTTTGCTCGTATGGCGAGCATTCGAATCAGGAAACAACAAACTTGAGACTAAGGCTACTTGTTCGTCATGCCAGTTTGGTCCGCCCGTGTTGTACGGCATGTTGGCATGCCCTCTCTTTTTCTGCATGAATGTACCACTCGCTGCTGAGCTTCTCGCCCTGCTGCATGATTGACGTTGGTTATGTTGGTTCAGTCCCAGATGCCGGGCATTGTTGCCTCAAGGAGCGAGAGAAGAGCGAGAAGTTTGGTGACTTCCTCATCCGCAAGCAGATCGTCAAGCCGCCTCTCAGATGTCTGGAGATTCTGGAAGTTGTATCGGTGTGTCGAACGTAAGCAAGCCTTGCAAGCAGGATAGGGGGTCTTGGATTCCTTTGTAGGGGGCCTCCTGGGTGCCAAGTTGGCAGCGCAATAGAGGTGGTTGAAAGAGAGAGAGAGAGAGAGAGAGAGAGAGAGAGAGAGACCGTGGAGGGATCCTCACGGCTCACCCATGAACAACCCCTTTGTCGAGTGGGTCGTCCCGTCCCAACCATGGCCCGGATCCATTTTGGTCGACGGATCACTGGATCACTGGGGCAAGCGTCGTGCCAACAGAACTGCCGATTGCCAAGGATGAACAATGGCCGTGACTGGTGGACAACTCCGGAGGTCTGAAGAAGGAGAGCACCGCAATTCATGCAAACCATGATAGCACTGATCGCACGGTGATCTTGATCGTATCAAGCGTTCGGTGTTCGGTGCATCTGCGACCTAGTTCAAGGTATGGGATGACCGAAATTTTGCAAAAATGAGCGCCTTGCTTCTTCCAGGACTTTGTGCAGTATGCTTCGCGTTGTCCCTCTGGTTGTCCAGAGACACAGGCATGCTGAGCAAGAAAACTGAAAACTGTACAGCAAGGATCTCAAAACAATTTTGATATCTTGTGTCGTCCGTCCACGGTGGAGAGTGTGGTGCTCTCCCTAATCCTGCTTTCATCCCGTCGGCATCTTGCAATGGCTTTGCCAACTTGGAGACAAGACGAGATTCCGGAGAATAAATTGCAACCTAACACAATATCTCGTCTTGCCTTCAGGCGGCTAACTTCTTTAGCCTAATCCTTGGCACAGGCGCGCGACTGTCTGGTCTTTCCGGCCACTATAAAAATAGAGATATAAAGGCGGGCCCTCCTTGAATTTCCTTTGCCTTTGGTCCTCAGCACCTGTAGTCTCAGCAATAGGACTTTATTTCGACCGGGCAGCTGCAGCCAGTGCACAGTGCTCAACTAGTTGAGAACCGGACATGAAGATCGGCTGAGCGAACTCGAGTGCTCTCCTGGATGCTGCACAGAATATACGGGAATATACAGGCCCAGTCAGCCATGAAGTGTGACACGGTTCAGAGATGTTCAGAGGTTGTGGGCACGCTTTGGTCTTGTGCCAAGTTCGCTCAGCTGCAAAGCCTGATGGTGGTTCGGAGATGTCGTTCGAACGACTGGACCATCATCGATTTTCCCTGAAACCTGATGTAGCGCCACATCGCGAAAGGAGAGCAACTGAATTGATCTACATTGCCTCGCTGTATAGATGTCAGACGCATTCCGGTGCTGCTGGTATTGTCAAGCAGTTCCGCCTCTCCTCAACCTGAAGACTCAAGGCCGACACGGTTACAGACAAGGAACACTGTCGCGCGAAGTCACAGAAGAAACCTAGACAACAAACAGCACAGCATTCCACAGACATGGCCAGACATGGCATGTAGTGTCTCATGACAGGCCTACCACTTTCACCGAGCTTGCTTTTTGGTATCGCATGCTAAGTCCAAAAGTGCAGCATCGACAAACACATGTTGTAGTAATGTGCTAATATGCTGAAACCCACGCCGGTGTGATCGCACCAAAATAGGGTTGTTTTGCACAGCTTGGTGCGGCGCATGTCGAAATCCTGGAGAGTCGGCAGCGGCGGCAGCGGCAGGCGACTTATACCAGACTCTAATCTGGAAGTCTTTATGGCTTCTTGTGGAGTGGCATGTTGGCTTTCTATGTTGAATTTCGATTTACATATACATATTTTTAAAGTGGTCACCCCCCCCCCCCCCGCCCAAGACCACTCTGCATGTATGTCTTGTTCGTTCTTATGTCTCTTGCTGTTCTTGCTTTATTTAGTGAGTTAATCATAGCAGCCATCGATGTTTCCGGTTGGTCAGATAATACCTGTCTGTTGACAAGATACTGCTTCTCGTTCTTATATAAGACTTAACTTACAACGTATGAATTTGAACATATATTGGTATACTTTTGAGTTCGTGTTCCCAATATGGAGTATGGTTCACACATACATGAGCCCGCACGATTCTGTTTCTTCGTTCGCAGGCTTATGACTCGACATTGGACTGATGTTTTCTAACAACATTGAATCGGGAAAGCTGTCCATGCTACGCTTCTTCCCTTAGGAAGACCTGCAAGCAAGGCGCGAGGTTGTTTTTTCAGTAACTATTGTCTCTGTGTCACTCACGACATACCATGCGGCACTCAAAGGTAGAGATCAGATGTGCCTATTTGTACTATTTGTATTTCGTGAATAAATGAGAGCAAGGCATAAATATTTAAATCTCAGGGAAGACGCCGGGCAAGTTGTCGGGACGTGCGGGCGCAAGCAAACAGATGCCCTTAGATCTTATCGTGGAAGACGAGCTTCAGCCTCTCATGCCCAAGGACGACTTCCTTCCTAGAAGCCCTTTTCCATCTTGATTTCATAAGGAGCTCCAGGAAAGGCCAAGAGCGATCATTCATTCCCAGTTCCTTCTTCGTTATCAGGATTTTTTGATGGTAAGAAAACCCTAACAAAGATCAAGCGACAAACGAAAGAAAGGAAGAAAGACAAACGGATTGGTATGTTTTGGTACCCCCTCCCCCCCCCCCTCTCCCAAAAATCTATACGTCTGTGTGGTTTTTTTAGCGATTAACGGAAGGGCGGCGGGGAAATGTTTCTAGCCTTCTAGACATAGAGGAGTGTCCCAGACCACAGGCGAACTATCGTATCTGCTTTGCGGACCAGGCCGATTCAGCACCTCAATGTGCTTGATCGGGCCCTCGGATCGAAGATTGAATTGAAGATGCCCCGGCAGAGTTTCCTCAATCTTCAATCTTCAATTTTCGATCCGGGGGCCGATTAAGCACATGGAGTTACTTAAACTGACCTGTAGTTCTCAATTATGTTCACTCGAGAGTTAGTAGAATTAGAGTAGTATTGGAATTCAGGTCATCCCAAATTAGGAGGTGATATTTTTGTTTCTAAAACGAATTCGCACAATTGGGGGTCAACATGTTTTGAACTGAACTCAGAAAGCGATTCGCAGTTCATCTCAACTGCAGAATAATACTCCGGTCCCAATGTACTTATTGAGACTAAGTATATGAACGAATGCGAATGAAATAAGGCTAATTCCTCCCAGCATAAGCATCTAAGTTGTTTAGGTACTGTACTTGGAGGACAATAATGTTGCTGCTGGGATGGTGGGATTGAGATCGAACCTAATCTCCATGCGATAGGTGTAGTCTCGGGAGGAGTGTTGGCGGTGACCCCAATATACGTATACATATATGTATATGCATATAACGCTCTTTGCTCCGACGCAGAGCTCTCATGGTGTCAATGCGTAGGTCTGTTTGCAAGCGTGCAGGCGCTGCTGTTTTGAATCCTGCGCGTCATGCTGGAATGGCCGTCTTTGTCGCCGACTCGAAGTTTGCCAAAGAGGTTGGGAGGAGGGCTTTCGGATGCCCGGAAATCCGGAAGAAACAAAACTGCTTGAAACTCAACTCCTTCAGCCTGCCTCGACGGCGCAAGGCGTTTCGACCCCTCGGAAAGCCCGACTGCGCCATACCTCGCCGCGCTGTCAGGCCCTCCGTAGATAGAACCGGAGGGAGTTGGATGTACAGAAGCATGCGAAGTCTTTTTGAGCAAGTTGAAGGAATACTTGCAAGGGGGAAGATGTTCGTTCCGACGGAGCATCCCCTGGCACACGTTTCCAGGAGAGCTGACGATGGGCCTCGAGTCGCCTGGACACCTGCATCGGAGATGGACCCTTGGTCCGCGGAACTCGGGTCAGCACCTGGGCAGCAAGCGCAGAACCTTTTTCAGAACATCTCTCCGAACATCTCGCAGAATATCTCTCAGAACTTCCAGGTTTATGAGCACTGTGTGTGTGAACATCGACAAAGAAGCAAGTGCTTAAGTTATGACCTTGTTGGACCTAGCCCAAGAGAGATCAGAGAGATCATTCGATTAGTAGCATGCTTTGGCAGAACAAGTTTGCCGAAACACAAATTCTCCAGATGTCTGTCTAAGCAGAGGTCTGCTGGAACGCTCGAAGCCTTGCAGCCAGCGCACGGCACAACACATCCCCCAGCTTGAGCCGAGCACGGCAGTCATGTTACCAGGTCATCGCCTTCGAAATCACTGGCACGAGCAGCGCTGGATCCTATTGCTTCCTCCCCTCCAAGCAGCAGCTTGCTGTGAATGGTGTGGCATCTTTGGGTGGTCCTTCTGATGGGGCTGATGAAAGGGTTCATTGTTTCAAGAAGGTTTGCGACAATTGCAGCTGGATGCTTGCTTTTCGAGCTGTTGTGGGATTCTGCGAGCCTTGTACCGAGGGCTCAGGCCCTTAGGTGCACCGGAGCCCAGAGTTCCGCAAGTGGAAAACACACTACATTTGTACAGGTCGAACACACAACTTCTGTGCTATGATGATGCTGTGGTGTTCCTGTGGAACTCTTCAAAAGTTCTGGCCTCACTGTGAGAAGCCTAGGGCCTACGAATTGCATACAGTACTTCCCTTTATGTCCGTGTACTGATTTCATGAATGCGGTTCAGGCTTCCACAAGACAGGGGATGTGCCAGACGCCGTTCCCCTGGACATATCGCTGAGCAGTCGACGTGCCTCCAGGCTACTGGGGCGAGTCCGGGCGTGGGAATGTGTGGGGTCTCGCAGACCTTGTTTAGGAACGAACGGGCTCTACTCCACCTGGAAGACGAGTGCAGAAACTTTACAGCTCCCAAACTGCTTTGTACCTTGTCCTGCTGGCAGGCAGTGGATTCTGCCGCCCTTGGATTGCAAGTTCGACGCTGAAGCTTGGTGTCAGTGCTGGGTGCTGATTTCAAGATTCGGGAGCTGAGCTTTCGAGGTTTTGTGGGGTTGGCGCTCATAGCTCGGGGGTCAGGAAACGGCGAGCGACTTCTACCCCACTCGGCGGCTGAAAGGATGCAGAGGACTGGGCATGTTGGGGGATGCTGTGAACTTCGCAGTCATCTTGGAGACAGATGATGATATGAAGTGCGCGTGCATCACCAAGGCTTACAGTACGGGTTGGACTGAGACTTGCCAAATATCGTTTCTGAAATATGTCAACAATGAGAGATCTTTTCAGGTGCATCGGAATTTCTGGCTCGACAGCTCCTGGCCTGCAAAGTCCAGAAATCATACTTGAGAGAACTTCCATGCGTTTTCGGTTTCCTGGGTTTGCTGTTGTTAACATGTCCTTGCTTTTCCGCGGCAGTTCCGCGGGCCCTGCTGTGATTTTGATATGTAACTTGTGGGCTGCTTCCCAATGCTTAATCCTAGATCAAGGTTTACTCATGCAGAACCACTCCAAAACTCGGGCAGTCTGGTGGGTGCCCAGGTCTTCGAGACGAAGTGCGACCGAAGTATATGAGCTCAACTTCGTCAAGGACTGCAGGCAAAAAGGCTTGCTTAGTGTGCGAGCCTCTCGAGCAAGCCAGTAGGACTCCGAAGATTAATAGAGATCTCCCGATGTCATCGGAGGAGGCTTTCCTCCGGTTCCGGTCGGACAGCGCGGAGGTGAATGTCAGTGACCTTCGTCCCATCCTCAGCTCTGCTCGGTGCATTCCAACATCATGGCCGACCGTGGCCCGCCCATGGCTTGCCTGCAGGGGATGTCCTGGATCACCTGGGCTACTTGGGAATCACGGACGAGGCGGCCGCCTCTCTGGCCAAAGAGGTTTCGCGCTTCTCAACCCTGGACTTCCAGGACATGTCTTCTACGTGATGCAGTGGTGCAGTGGAATATGCATGAGTGTCTGTGAACTAGCAATGGGTCATTTGCCTTTTCATGCTCAGCAGCATGCTCACATAAACGCAAGCTTTTGCCCCATTTTCCATTACCTTGCGGAAGAATGTCGATTGTGAGGCTGCGTGAGGAGTAGTCTGCAAGACGACCACACCATTTTGGAAACCAGGTGCATTGAGTGGAGTCGTCTTTGCTGAAAGTCTCCCTGACAACAATTTTAAATCAGGAGATAACTTTCATGGTTCGACCATGGCGGCCTTGGTAGCAGAAAACGTGCTTGATCAAGCAAGGTTCAGGCTATCACTGGACCCAAACCAAGTTTACATAGCAGTGGGGCCAAGAGCAAATAATGCCATAGCCTATGCATGGGATTGATTTTCAGTATGAACGTGTTTGAAGCTGGAAGCGAGAGTTGGGGCTGTACACTCACGTTTCGACCACTTGTTTTGGGATTCTTTACAGCTGTGTTCTAAAGCTTTACATATGATGAATGAACATGTTGTGTGCGAGGCTTAAAGCATCACGACATCAACACATCTGAAAAAAAGAGTAACAAACAAGTAAAACATGGAATGAACACACACCGGCAAAAACAAAACACAACAACACGGGAAAGTCAGATGCATAGGGCTACTTGAAGTGCCTCGACAAACTTTAGCGCAGGACAATCGAGTTTCCTCAACCAAAAAAGACCTTAGCAGGGTATGACGTACGTACCCTCGTAAACACTCTCTCAGGTTCAGGGTGTTTCTTGCTTTCGGGTTCGTTGCGTGAGCCCAGAATGTGAATCATAAGGATTGTCACGCTGGCTACTCTAAGAAATCATGAATTCGAGAGAGCATGAGAGACCTACACATATGGCTCTGTGGGGCACGCAGCTTCGCCGTATGATTCTGCTGTCTGGGACTTGAACCAGGAGCTACAAAAGGTGACAGAGCATGCCGGAAGCTGGGAGCTACAGCAGATTGAGCAGGCATTCCAGAGACAGGCGGGGCTTCTTGGGGGGACATAGCAGCGGAAGCGCGTCCCAAGTCTTCAAGATTCTGAGAAAATCCTGTATCGAGAAGCGCCTCAAGTCACAAGTCAATCAGCACCTCCGACCTTCGTCGATGAAGCGCTGATGAAACAAACAGGTAAAGTTTGCCAAAAGACTCGGAGCAAGCCGCGTCGCTGAATCGTTGACCCGTGCATCACCATGTCAGATGTGCCAGGCTGAGCAGACGGATGGTGTCACAATGCACGTGAACAGACTCTCGGTATTGATGTTGGCCATCCCATACCATCCCAGCGTCTGAAATATTGTCCACTTCTCGGAGGCACAAGGGAGTCACTCAAGGCCCAAGCCGACGAGTTTCAAGCTCATTCTCTTTCACACTGTCAAATTGACATGCTGTTTTGGCTAGTTGGGTTCGTCTTGTTGAACATCTGACTTACGCACCCTGCGCTCGCAGTGCAGCTCTCACTCGTAGCTCCCTCTTTTCTGGACATGAAGATATGCTGCATTCGCCAGTGCGGTGCAGAGCCGTTTCCATGTTGGGCTTTTGCTTTTGGCCGAGGATTGCAGTTCATCCTTCATGACCTGGGCGCTACCTCTGAGCATCAGGCGATCCGTGAGAGCCTGGAAGCTGGGACCTCAACCCTTCACCATGGCAGAGGATGTGGGGCATAACGTGGGGCATGAAATATTTGCGGCTTTTTGCAGCTTTTTGCAGTTTTTTGCTCGTCCAGCCTGCCGCAACCTCGGCTCCGAGGCTGCAGGCCTTCCTTGCACTGCTGAGGATGCCGCGCCAGAGGCCTATGAATTACGCATTTCATGCCGTCCCATCCTCACTTCCTCAAAGGCTTCTACGCCTTGCAGTATACAAGATTTCGATGTTTATGTACGTTGGTCTGGTCTGATGCCGCACTTAATTAGGATGTGCAGAATGCCTTCCTAGTAGTAGTAGTAGTAGTAGTAGTAGTAGTAGTAGTAGTAGTAGTAGTAGTAGTAGTAGTAGTAGTAGTAGTAGTAGTAGTAGTAGTAGTATTATAGTAGTAGTAGTAGTAGTAGTAGTAGTAGTAGTAGTAGTAGTAGTAGTAGTAGTAGTAGTAGTAGTAGTAGTAGTAGTAGTAGTAGTAGTAGTAGTAGTAGTAGTAGTAGTAGTAGTAGTAGTAGTAGTAGTAGTAGTAGTAGTAGGTAGTAGTAGTAGTAGTAGTAGTAGTATTAGTAGTAGTAGGTAGTAGTAGTATGGTAGTAGTAGTATGGTAGTAGTAGTAGGTAGCAGTAGTAGTATGGTAGTAGTAGTATGGTAGTAGTAGTATGGTAGTAGTAGTATAGTAGTAGTAGTAGTAGTAGTAGTAGTAGTAGTAGTAGTAGTAGTAGTAGTAGTAGAAGTAGAAGTAGAAGTAGAAGTAGAAGTAGAAGTAGAAGTAGAAGTAGAAGTAGAAGTAGAAGTAGAAGTAGAAGTAGAAGTAGAAGTAGAAGAAGAAGTAGTAGTAGAAGTAGTGGTGGTGGTGGTGGTAGTAGTAGTAGTGGTGGTGGTGGTGGTGGTAGTAGTAGTAGTAGTAGAAGTAGAAGTAGTAGTAGAAGTAGTACTGGTGGTAGTAGTAGTAGGAGGAGGAAGAGGAGTAGTCGCCGTCATCGCAACATTCGTAGTAGTTCTTACTTGTAGCTTTTGGCTTCCTGAAGCTGATTCTTGGGGCCGGGCCGTTTTTTGTTGTTGTTGTTGTTGGTTTTTTTTTTAAACATTTTTTTGTGCACCCGTGAATTATTGAGTTTCGGCACCATACCCCTTTTTATCATTCTGTTGGGGACAGATCTCGCGTTATTGAGAACCACATTCCTACTCACAACCCAACGTTAGAATCAACAGAACCCCTGCTTGTGCCAAAATGCCACAGAACGCCAGGCGAGCGGGCTGTGCTCTTCCGTATCCTCTCGGCTCGACTTTGAGAAGGTGCGAGCCTCGTGCCGCGCTAGAAAAGAGTTGTCGGTGCGCATTGGAGGCGAGTAACCCGTTCCTTGATCTTGCTGTGCCCTATGCTGAACGCAGGTGAACCGTTTCCTCGCCACGCACCGGGCTGCGCAATGCTGCCGCTGGGCCAACTGGAGTTGGCCTGTTTTCCGCTGTGTGCCGACTCTTGAAACCACACGCAAAATAACCCGGAAAATCTCGCTGCAAATAGCACGTGAAGCTGAACCCCTGCTACTGTGATTTGGAATGCCCACTGCAGTCGCCAGGCTCACAGGCCCTCGTCGACAGAGCCGAGACACTCTTCAAATCCATCGCACATCGGGGCAGTGGTGGTCGGCTCGAGGCCTGAAGTGACAAGCTGACAAGCTCAACTTTCTGCGTCTGTGTCTGACCTTGTTGAAGTTGCGCGTAGTTGCTCGTTTTGTGAAGGTCACCGTTCACAGGGTGCCAGAGCTCTTGCGTCGGCTCTGTGAGGCGCTGTATCGCTGGTGTTTCAATGTGTTTCATATTATTTCATGCCATCCCGCAAAAACTCCCGCAGCGCAGCCAAAGTCAACAGCAGTGCCCGCGCAGGATGACGTGTCGGAGTTTGTCACGGAGCTCTGTTCCTGGGCAAATAAGCTGAGAGGGTTGTTCTGAACTCTTGTTCTTGACAGAAAATTCAGTTGATTAGTCACCGGGAAGGATTGAAGGGCATGACCATGACGCGATGCTGGGTGCCTGATGTGCCTGATGTGCCTGATGTGCCTGATGTGCCTGATGTGCCTGATCAATCAATCATCCGTCATATCCTTCACATCCTGTCCTCCTTTTGCTGCCCTTTGCTCCGCCACTTGAAAGCGAAGGCCAGCGACTCGAAAGCAGCGAGGCTGGCTGCGACAGCCACTGGGACTGGGCTTTCGTAAGGATATGTAAAGATCTTAGCCGCCGCTAGAGGCCCTGGCCGTAGCCGCCCCCTAGCTGCCCTAGCCCCTGCTTCCTTTGCTACCTTTGTTTGCTGAGGCGACGCTTCTGGAGATGAAGGGGCTGCCGCAATCTATCGGTGGGGCAGCGTCGTTGTTCTTGTGGCTTTAGGCCCCTTGAGGCCTTTTGAGGCCCTTGAGGCGCTTGAGGCACAAAGGCATCTTGAGAGGGATGTCGGCTCCTTGGCTTCGGGCAGCCTTGGCAGGCCATCCCACTCCATGAGCCTCAACGAGTTCCTGACCTGGCTTCGGCGCCTTCGCTGTCTTCACTTTCGCCGTACGTGGCAAAAGTACGAGGAGGCGCCGGGTGTCAAAAAAACTCGCAGAAAGGCCTCCGGCCCCCACTCCACTCAGTTTCTTGTCGCAGGCTTGCTAAATGTTGATGGAGTTTGGATGGTTTTTCGCCGTGTGGGATCCTGACTGCAACTTGCCAGGTAGCGTGCTCCCCGGGAATCTTGGAAGCAAGCAGAGTTCCAACTGCGTGAGAGTTGGTACAGCCTCCGCACATACCAGTGCACCCTGACTACACCTTGACCCTGAGTGTGTTCTGAGTAGGCTTCGCGCTTCGGGATGGGATGGGTGCAACAATTCAAAAGGTCCCACCACCAGGGTCTCGGAACCAGGCCCTGTTCCGTGCTTTATGAATAGCTTTTCGGCTTAGTCCAGTCTGCAATTTCAAAGGCACAGCCATTAGAGCAATGCGCTGAGACTCCGCTTTTCTTGAAAGTTCCTGGGGCCCCCTGGATTTTTGCTGGTCGGTGACACTGGCGATCAGCTCCTGCAAGAATGGAACAGATGGACAGACGTACCATGACGTGCTTTTGGGAGGCCACGTGTCTGTGGATGCCTTGGACCTCGTGCTTCAAGGTGCGCGAGATGCCCCAAGTTGTGAGGTGCTGGGCGTGTTGAGAGAACTGAGATAGCTGGCATGTGTTTTTTTCTGTGTCAACCTGCAGCTCAACATGCTTCAACTATATTGCTGGTGCATGGGGCTCTTGGAGTGGAATTCCAGATTGGCCAGCAGAGCCCGAGCGTCAAGCCTGGCACCCAGCATCATCTCTGAAGACAGTTTCTGAATGTCTTTGATCGTCTCCATGAAGCAGCTGTGGTAGGGCAAGGCAGGGCAAGGCAGCGCCAAGCATGGCAAGGCGTGGCAAGGCGTAGCAAGGCATGAGGAGACGTAATCCGTGCAACACATCCGAACCCGGATTCAGAAATAACTTAGCGCAGCCGGGCATGTGGCAGAGGCGCAGCCCTGTCCAATACAAGTATCGTTTTGCAAAGTGTGCCCTGCTCTCGTATCCACTAGACTACGTCGTCCACTACTCAGTTTGTGTCTTCTCTGAGTCCACTCCGAAGAGGGTCTCTGTGTAGCCAGCATATACAAGCATTAACAGTCAGTACAATCATGTACAATTGCCGTTGTGTGCACCGTGGCTCCAAGGATGCAGTCCTGGCCGAGGACGGGCTTTGCAATGCTTTGCACCACTTTCTTTTAATGATGTTTCCCTGAGCTCAGGGTAAATCTGATTATGTAAATGTTCCAGTCTTGAGGTTGATTGCAAAAGGTTGGTGTCTCGGAGAAGACTACTTCCGCCAGGGCAAGAAGCGACACATCGCACCAAGACTTTCTGAAGTCACATCAGTGCAATGCGTTGGATCCTACTCAGCCTGCATCTACATCTGACTTTCTGCAAAAGAAGTGGGCCTTCTTGGACAGGTTGGTCGCCAGAGGGCGGAACTGCTTAGATTCGAGCTTGTGGATTCCTTGCGCCGACACTGCTGCATCTGGGATGGCCATTGCAGAGCGTGGAGTTATTGTTCTTAGTGCTATTGTTATGTGTGTGTTTTGTTGTCTTTTTCTTCTTCTTTACCTTCATGTTCTTTCTGTGATTGAAATAGAAGATTGGCAGATGTTGGCAACATGTATACCACTTGTTTACCCGTTGAAGTTTCGTTGAACGCCTTGGAAGCCGTAGAACACATTAGAACACCAATTGAGGCCTGATGAAGGACCTTTCCATGGCCGAGGCTCCTGAGGGTTTGGATTTGTGGGATTCGTAGGGTCTCGGTGTTGCCCTTCCAGAACTTGAGAACGCAAGTCATCCTTCCTGTATGTTGTCGCGCTGTGTTGGTCTTAGCAGCGGCTTGAAGATTCTGCAGGAATGTGCAGTTACGCAAAGGGCCACGACTGTAGATGTTGAGGCCACCTATTCTGTGGTCCAAGCATCTCGCACAGGCCAAGTACTTCACAGGCGTCTTTGGGAACTTCCAGTCCGAGGAATGCGGGGGGGGGTGCTGCAAGAGACTTGTGGGGTGCTTATGTCGTTTTCTGACATGCGCAGACTCGCTGGAGTTGCCCATACCTTCGAGATGGCAAAGGGCTCACGGATACAGTACTACAAGCATCCATCTGCAGTACCATCCGGCAATTTTTTTGCAATAATGTGCATGCGCTGCTTTGTGTCTCGACAGCCTGCCTGATCCCGAGCAGGACCATGTTGGATTTGTGAACCGTGCAGACTGCCTTTGCTTGTTTCGGTACATGGGCAGCCTGGCAGAAATTATTTGCCCAAGGAGGTCTGTGCATTGTCCTTTTCTGGAACTCTTCGAGACGGAATCTTGAGCTTGCAACTTCGGCTGACTGTGCAGAGTCACAGCGCAACCGTCTGATAGAGGCTGCGAGGCAACAACGGCTTGAGTAGCGCACAATGGTGGCGAGCACTTCATGCCGGCATTCTCTCTCCACCATGCAGGCTATGGCCTCAAGGGCGACGAGATTTATTCTTTGCTTTTGGATGCCAAAGCGGCGGGGCACAGGCTCTTGAGTCTGAGTGCATCCCAGCTCAATTTAATGCCTGCGGCTTGTGGTATTTTTCTAGTGTGTGTGTGTGTGTGTGAAGAAATGCGTGCGTGCGTGGGTGGGTGGGTGCGAGTGTATGTGCGGGTGTGCGGGCGCGGGCGCGGGTGCGGGCGTGGGCGTGGGTGTGGGTGTGGGCCAGTTTTGCTTAATGTTGGACTCTCTCTCTCTCTCTCTCTCTCTCTTTCTCTCTTTCGCTTTGGTATCCAGGGGTCCCCCCCCCCCCCCCCAAACAAGTTTGGGGTTCGGGATCCTGAATAATCTGGGCTGGGGTCGTCGTCGTCGTAGTAGTACTCGTAGTACTAGTAGCACCCTCCAAGGCCCAGCTTCGGAGTGCAGGTTTTGCAGGTTTTGCAGGTGCCTGAGAGGCACTTGTGCCCTGAGGGCACAGACCTAACGACTTCTGCATCAGCGGAGACGAAAGACACCAGCCTTCAGCTTCTTCTTGTGAAGGGCAGAGCCCTCTTTTTGTTTTCCCTAATCGGAAAGATTTCCGGAAAAACGCTCAATAGCGGCCCCTGTAGCTACAGCGAGTCCAACAGTACCAAAAACGGCCCTTCAGCTTCAAATTTCAATCATGCAACCACTGTGAATCTTGCCCACATAAAGTTTGAGAATAGGTCGAAGACAACGAGTCCCCGATTCGTTTAATCATTCGTTTTACCTGACAAAACTGTTCAACTCTAGCATATCGCCTAAACCTAAAGCTGAAACCTAGCCGTGTCAGACAGTCCCCTGTGCCTGTAAGCCAAGCTGCCCAAAATCCAAAGCAGCTCAGTGGTAAACGCTGGCATATCGACCGCCTCTGCCCGGCTTTCGGGCTTCGGTTTGAGAACTTAGCGTTAAGAAATCAGCGAGTGGTGGAGGGTGCCTCTGGACAGAGGATTCAGGGGGTCCCTCGCGAACCTTGGGGCGTCCCCACGGGGCACGGACAGAGACAAAAAGACCCGAGAGGACTCTCGGGTGAACCCTTTGGGTCAGGCCCAGAAAACCAGAGAAAAGTACCCCAAGGGAATGGATTAGGAACAACCAACCACTTGCCCCAAAAGCCTGCAGGATAACTGGAATCCTTGCCAGTTTAGGGAGTCAGGGAAGTGTCGCCAAGGATTTCCTGAGCATGATGAGGCCGGGACAAGGTTGAGAGTTTCTGTGCCTTGCTGGTTGGTCTGGAGCGTCTTGCCTGCGTTGTGTAAGCAATTTATGGGGCTGGGTGTCGCGGTACAACTTCAATCAGAACTCCATGCTGTCGTGGACCTATACCTCCACACTCATTCGCGCGCGTACCTAGCTGATCTTGGTACGACTTCCACCCTTGTCTTCTTATTGCCGATGCGACTCGGTTTATGAGAATTCATTGCTGGTTTGCTGTCACATTTTCTGTCAAAGTTGACATTCGTTCAAGATGTTCAAGCAGACAAAAAGGTTAATCTTTATTTGCAAGATTTCGCTACGTCCTCGAGAGCTCGATCGCTCACTCTGGCTCCTTACCCTGGATGCCTCTGGACTCCATTCGTTTCTGCCTGTCTCGGAGATGGTTGAGTGATGGTTGTATGTACCGTCTGCCTTCCAAAGTGAAGTGTCTCTTCGAGTGCTGCAAGTACAAGATGCTGATAAAATTGAAAGGATTGAAAGGTTGAGTCTCAGTCTTCGTTGGGCTTTGACACACGGCGAAGCAATAGAAGCTCTGGACATGATCGTCCAGTGTCATCTGAAAGCTGGAGAACAAGTTTGGATTCTCTGATCCAGTAGGAATGCTGACCTAGTGCCTGCCCCACACCTCGCGGCAGGGCATGCCGTGTTCGGGAGAGAGGCATGCTGAAGACTGCCCCTCGGCAGAACGTGCACCACATCGACAGTTCTTTGGCTTCGTTGATGGTAGCTAGTGTTTGTGCGGTGTTGTGTGCTTGTTAAACTTAGAATTTTGTAGCTAAAGCCCGGTGAGCTTTTGGGTTCCTCAATTCTCCTCTTGCACATCTTTTTGTTTTCATTTCGTCGTTTGTCGTGATGCTGATGACTAGAGCTTCGCCGAAAAGCCTTGACTGATCCAACTGGCAGTCGGAGTTTTGGAATGTGCTCGGTTGAGCGCCTGAAAGTGGATCGGCAAGTCGCACCATATCTACAAGCTGGTGAAATCTGTAGGGTGCTGATCGTGCATTCATAGCGAGCATTCCCAAGTGTTGAAATCCAGAGACATCGAAGACGTGAGGCCTACGAGATGAAGGCACAGTGCCAGCCCCAGGATCGCTGAACGCTGCACTGAACACTGCACACGGAACCATGAACAGTGGAGACATGGTGACACGATGAGTCGCTTGCACTGAACTTTTTGTCCTGTACTCTCTCTAGGCTGTTCGACTGCAGTCTTTTTTGCTGAGGGACATGGGCTTGTCGGACTTGAGTGACGTCGAAGAGACGGGCTCTGGATTGTCTGTGTCAGATGAGGAGGAGATGTGAAGCTGTGCCAGTGTGTGGTGTCACTGTCAAGCCAGTCGCTGACCAGCTTGCTGAAAGGACAGCCCGGTTGAGCTTGTCCTCAACAGACGCCAGAGCTCCCCGCTTTAAGGGTTGAGAGTTGAGGGTGCCTCTTTGTTTTTTGACCACGCGGTTTCCTACTGTCAGGGTGACATAACCCCGTTGACGTATCCTGACGTGGTGCCAGAACGCATGCTCTCGTCATGGTTGCAACATGTTGCAACGCTTGTACCCTCTGTTTACTCTGTTTACTGAGGTAACGAAAGCTCAAGAGCGGCTTTCCGGCGTCGCAGCAGTGTCAAGCAGGCCACGACTGCCCCCGTGCTGACGTTTCAGTTGGCGGTGTCCAGCGGCCCCTGTGCAGGACGCGCAGTCCAAGACGCAGGCATGTTTGAAACTGCCGGGCTATCAAACATTGTCACTATCCAGGGCGTGGCGTGATGCAACTTCATGCAACTGCCAACGAGTTTCTTGGTGGGACAGGTCAAGGGAGAGGGCCTCGTGGTTCCGTCCGGCGTGCTAGAGGCAGCAGCAGTCTGGGTGAGTGAGCGAGCGAGGGAGCGTATGAGAATCCGAGTAAGAGAGGTGTAAGCACCCTCACGGGCTTGGGCACTTAAACCCCCTACAAAAGAAGGGAAGAACACGACAACCACAAGAAAAACAATGAAGCAACACAAAGGCAAAGATAAATAGGTAAAAGAAGACAATGACGAACTGAGAATTGAAACAGCGGCAGAAGAACTAGCGACACAAGAAATAGCAGCAGAAAGGAGAAATAAGGAGCAAAGGAACACAGAATAAGCACATAGCGAACTCAATAACGATGAATACAACGAAACAGATAAGAGACAGAGAGAAAGATAACAAGAGAGAGAGAGAGAGAGTCGGAGAGAGTCGGAGAGAGTCAGAGCTGCAGTCGCTGCACAACGCTGGGGCGCGCGGATCGCGCGGGGCTTCTTGCCTTCCTGCCCCCCAAAGAAAAAAGAGAGCGACTGGCTTGTAGCCTAGCCATTTCGGCCTTTCTTCGGGCTCATCGCTCCTTCCTGTGGCTATCACTTGCATGCTGACTGCTGTCTCTGCTCTCGATAAAATCTCATTCTCTTGCCGCCTGCCTCTTCTATCTGCCTTGTTCTGGAAGCACTGACATAGAAGCACATGGAAGCACGTGGAGCACACTGACTGCAGGCGCTGGGTGCGGTTGGATGGTCGCTGGCGGAGGAGGCCCTGTACGAGGCCCTCGTAGATGAAGCACATAAACGCTTCTCCTTAAGTCTTTGTTTTGGGGCGAGGGTTGTTGAGGCTTCATGGGTTGAGGGTTGAGGGAGGGTGCCTACGGTCTCTAGATGTCTCGAGATTTTCTGAACTAGGTGTTTAACGTTTGCAGGGGCCTCCCTAGAAGTTGGGTATTGAAAGGTTCCTGAGAGTTCCCGGAAGGTGCCTAGAAAAGCAGGGCTTTCGTGCCCGTGTCTGCGAAGCTACAAGTTTGCGTGTCCCAAAACCCTTAACCTGAAGTTGCAGGCACTGGCGCGTCTCAATTTGACCCGGAGCTTGCTGAGCTTGGTTGAGTTCCAGTCCCTGGCAACGTACCTGCGGTTGAAATGGCAGGTCTTGAGTGTATGCTTGGGGTGCTCTCATGCTTTGATTGCAGGCTTTTTGCCTTCAGGTTGAAGAGCAATTTATGGGGGCATATTCGGAATCAACTTATCGTAATGTTAAGTGAGAACTTTTGGTAAAAGGAACTGCTCGTTCATGTCTTCAAGGTGGGCTCTTTGTAAGCACGGAGGCTTCTGAGGCTTCAAGTGTCAAAAGAACGTTCAGAACGCCTTTGGTGGCATACGAACAAAAAGCGCGAGGTGAAGGGCAAAGGCACGGAAGGCGCGGTGTTGGCTCCAAGCTGCCCAAGCGCCTGGTCCAAGGCTGCTGCGTGAAGAGGAGGCCACGCAGAAGCAGACCAGAGCCGGCTGGTCCGCCTCAGAGGCCAAAGTTCAATTGAAGGGCAAACAAAACGGCTTGACTTCAGCTTGGAGTGTAGACTTAGAGTCTGAGATGGTGACCTGGACAACTGCAGGCCCGCGACATCCAGAGCCTTTACCAAGCCCATGCCGGGGCTGAAGGCCAGCTCGATGAGGTGCCAGGGATCGAAAAGCATCAGGGCACGACATGCGCAGCTTCTGTAGCGAGTGAGCCAGCGAGTGAGGGATTGGCCCTTTCACATACGACACTAGGGCATGCGGCAAAAGTTGGGCATGTTTGCCAAGCCAGCGGCTTGGACTGGATTTAGGCATACATCTCACTGGGAGACGAGACTCTTGAGTAAGTTTGACATGGTCATCGAGAGTACTGCCTCAAAGAGGCGGTTGTCCCAAGGTACTTGGGTTCCATGGGCTTTGTTGCAAACGATCTCATTTGTCGAAATCACAGGGCTCTACTTGTATCGTGGTATCGCTGTTGGCGAGTCCAGTCCTGGCCCATCGCACTCCTGTTATGTGTGCTTCACGACATCCTCTGCAGCAGCACGGGACTACAACGCACTCATGCCACCACGAAATGTGTTTGACATCTCTTGACCTTTGAGGGAACCGATACCTGTCCTTAGCTCGTGCAACCTTGCCCCTTCTATTCCGCTGGTACGAGGACAGATTAGAGCGCCTGCTGTGGGATCTCGATGTCAGAAAAGGCACTTGCCTCAGTGGCAGCTGCCAGTTGAGCTTAGATTTGGCTCTCTGCGGCTTGTGGCGAAGAGCTCTTTCTGGATTGAGGTGTGGTTCTGTTCGGAGAGGTTCTAAGTCTAGGTCCTTGCAGGCTCAACTATGAAACATGGGGCGCTTCTTCATTCACGTGCTGTTTCCTTGTCATGCAACAATGCATAAATCATGCAACAATGCATAAATCATGCAACAATGCATAAACTGCTCATTAGCGGCTTCTCAGCACCTGTTCTTTGGTTCTCAAAGGCCTGGGGGCAGGCACGATGCATGGACCATGCATGCATTCTTCTGAGGCTTTGGAGAGCTGAAACAGCTTCTGGACAAAGCTCGAATGCTCAGCAGCGACGAGTTGGAGGGAAGCAACAAGGTCCTTCCTTGCTCTTCGAGTCGGCTTCAGTTCGGAATTTTTCTGTATGAGATTCGACACAGCTCTCTTCCTTGATTTAGGTAGCGTCCAATCTAACTGTCTCGCTTTCGGGTGTAAGCCATAAGTTTCAGCAAGCACTTCCTCGACCCACCTTTGCAAATTGGCCTACATCTTGCCAGTAGTCGAAAACTCAAAGCGAAAAGGCATCTGCTCTGGCATTCATGACTGGCATGTGGTGCAGGTGACCCTCTCAACGTTAATGCACTTGCTGCGCTTCATCTCCCAGAAGGGACTACGAAGCGCGTTTGCCAGAGAGAGTGAGGCGCGAGGGGGCTTGTGGACTGGGCCATCGTGCAGGCTACAAGAAGCTCGTTGAGTGAGTCTCGGGAGTTGTCAGCTGACCCGATGGGGGGCGAGCCCGTTTTTGATCAATGCTTTTTTTTTGCACTGTCCGTAACCCGACTTGTACCCACAGCTCGCGAAAGCAGGATACGTTCCCCTGGAATGACCCGCATGTGTTTTCGGAATCAGATAGGGTGCCCTTGGGTTGGGCTGCGCCGGCACTCTACAAGCCTTGGTGGACCGGGGGAGTTGACGGGTGTGGCCGCGTCTCCTCTCCGCTGTGTCCGATGGCGATGCCAGTCCACCAGCAGGCTGTGCTTTGCCTTTAGCATGTGCTTCCCGTATATTGCACTTGTGTCTGCTTTGTGCGTTTGTCCTCGCGCCGCCCTCAGAAGTAGGAGTGGCCTCTTGGAGCTTACAACTGTCTCGATGGACCCTGGATCATTGGCTCATGCCGCTGCCTCTGAGAACCCATACCTTTTTGAGCTTTCGATAGCTTTCGTTTCCCCCGCTGGGCGCAAGTTTTTGATGCGATTTGGGTCCTAAAGTTGTGTTAGGACACTTCGCATTTTCCGGTTGGAGCTATTCGATTTTCTAATGTTGTTTGCTGCATTTCGCCACATGCGTCCAAGTGGACATCCGACCCTTAGAGACACAACCCGGAAACGCCTCGGAAGGGCAGGAACCCCAATACCCGCCTCAGAAAAAAGGAAGTGCTGATGCACCTTCAGACCGGTTCCAACCCCAAACTGGCCCCCGAACCTTGGGGTTGGGAAACGTGCACTGTTCGGCCGGAGGGGAATACTTCTTTTGTGTGCACACAATTGCATGGGGTGGTTTCCATGGGCTCGACACGCGCTCCGATGCGCACCGAAAACTCGCAGCAAGAGGTTGGCGCAGCGTAGGCGCAATCTGACGCAGCATGTCGTAGCACCTTGCCCCACGTTCCGAAAAACTCCTTCCGCAGGCCTTCCATGCTGAATCTTGCCACCTGTCTGACTATTATTTTGGAGTTCGTTTTTTTTTTTTTTTTTAAATGTGTGTGTGTGTGTGTGTGAATGAAGGCATGCGAGGCTTTTGGAGTCCAAGCCAGAGCCGAGGCACAGAGGCCGACTTGGCGGGCTACCGCGATCTTTTCCGCAAGCTACGAAGCTCTGAGAAGTGGCTTGGCATAGCAAAAGTCCTTGTGCCAGGGTCTTTCTCTGCCACTTCGTCCCCTCGTCCACTCCCATTTCAGAGAAAAAACGTCTCAATGTTCCTGCGGACGGCTTGTGAAATCAAGTGCGTGACAGCATGTCGACTAAGACCTCCTGATGACGACACTTCTGGTCGCTCGGCCTTGTGAGGTGTTGTGGCTTGGGGCAACTGCTCAAGGTTGAAGCCCAGGGTCCTACTCAGTGAGAAGCATGGCTTCTGCCGATGCTTTCAGGGTTGTTGGCGCAGCACGCTGTTAGATGGTGTTTGTGAGTGCTATCCGAGGCGCCAGTTCCAAGTTCCGAGGCAAGTCTGAGTCGGGCCTCACGGTCCCGCTCCTGACGCCAGCGCCTCAAGGGAAGCTCTCCGGGCTCAAACAAGAACATAAAGAATTGGCAAAGTTCAAAGTTAACGCTTGCAGCGAAGCCCAGGCTGCCTTCCAACGGAAAGCGCCGCCCAAGAAAATGCAACTCCGGCCAGACCCTGAGCTCATTCATTCACTACACTTTTAGTATTCTTGCGCGTTCATTCATTCTATTCATTCACGGGTTTCGTTCACATTCTATTAATATTGCGTGCTTTCATTACCAATATTAATATAATGTTCTCTTCACATTATACCTTCATGAATCAGTTCTATCCACGGGGTAACTGATGAAGAGAGACCAATAAATCTCTGGTACCGGGGAAAGAGCGTTACGTGCACACAGATTATAATTAAGGTGTAACCCTTGCCTTTTGGTCTGTCCGTAAGCACCAGTGAACGAAGTAAAACCAGTGAATGAAACCAATCCACCAAGAATCCCCGGTTAATGCACTCACTTCTCTCTACTTTCTATCTTCCCGGGCTATAATTATATTACTTTGTGCCCGGGGCATATTAATAAAAGCATGAATGTAGTGAATTCTCTTCACGCTTTATTAGTATTATTCCGGCGGCTACAAAATAATTAATGAGGCCGCCCTTATAAAAGCCCAAATTTTATTATTAAATTCGTGCGTCATTACATTCCTTACAATTTAATATAAAATTATATGGTCTTGTTTCGTTCACTCACGCACTTCGTTTATTTGTTCATTTAATTCACTTCATAAACTCGCTTGTTCATTCTCTTCACCTTTATTAACCTAGCTCATAAGGAAAGGGGTGAACAAGCGAATCAATGGTCTAGTTTCCTGGCTCATGATTCCAAGCTTGCGAACACGGGCTAGTTATAATATAATAATTCACGCGTCTTTCATGCTTCATTCCTTGTAATTATTATATTATTAGCCCGTTCTCTATTATTAGGATGACACGGGTGAACAAGACACAGGATTTATAGGGAGACAAGGGACAGGGCTAATGATTACGGGCTCTTGGTGCAGCATTCCTGGGCTAGTTTCCCGGGCCATGATACTAATACTATGTGTTAAGGGGTGAATGGTAAGTCATGATCCTATAGTACGTCCTACACCAGGATTTAAATGAAGTGAAACGAAGGATTACAAGGAAGCGATGAAAGGAGCGACCGCGTGAATCCTAGTGAACGAAAGAACGACATGAAATTTGTGAAGCTAATGCACTTCTTTCTAATGTAATTCTAAGGGAACCTCTGGGGAACACTCTCCTGACGTTTCATTAAAGGCTTGCTGTAGTTACTGTAGCGCATTGTAGTGCATTGTAGCGCATTGTAGAGTGTCGATGGTGTCGGCGAATGGGGCATGTTTTAGGGTGGTCTTGATCGTTGGCCTTGACCATCTTGACTGCCCAGGGTTATACCATCGGGTTCACGGGTGAAGTTTGTAGAGTTTTGGGCTTTAGGGCTTTCTCCCCATTCAGTATTTAGGTGTCAGGGTTCGCGTCGCTTGTGAAACCACCTTTGGCCGCACTCTCTGTTCTTTTGTGCTCGAAACGGATGTGTAGGATTTGTTTACTCATTTATCATCCTCTGTGTTTTCTGTCTATTGATTCTTGCAGAATTTGGCAAAGTCTTGGCTTCTGTTTCGGAATTGAAAGCAGCCTGTGGAGAGGGTGGAGCGGGCAGGAAAAGTGGGGAGGGTGGCTCGGAGAGTGAGGAATGGGGAAAGTGGGGAGCGCGGGGGAAGGTCGTTAGAGAATCACAATTGGCGTCAAGGCGGGGAGAAAGGGGGGTGGGAGGAACCTGGGGAGGGTGGGTTTAGGGTCCAGCGGATAGGGTTTGTTTGCGCCGCCTTCAGAAGCAGGAGCAGGACGTACAGACAGAATACTGTCTTCGACCCCTTGGGCGCCTTGACCCCTACACATATTTCTGTGCAACAAAAATTAATCGACTCCATTTTTTCATGTGTAGAGAGTTGTGCGAGGCTGGAGAGGTGGGGAAGGTGTTGGCGAATGACGAGACATACAGTGTCAGACATATTAATTGGTGACACCGAGCAGGTTGTGCTTGGATACAACTGACCCAAAGGGGCAATTAGGAAAATGAAGATTCGTTAAAGTGCGCAGTGCAGCGGCCAAACTTTCTTTCCTAGCTGCTGTGCCGCTGCCATCTTTAGTAACGCAGTACATCAGTCCCCAATCAGAGGCTAGCTGAGCTGCGCGCGATGCTCATGTCGTGCCAGTCAGTGTCGCGATGATAAAGATGAGATGTGACTCGGTGTCGCGCATGGCAACATGCGCATCGGCTGCACAACTGACTAAGTCTTAGGAGCCGCTGCAAGTTGCACGTGTGTTTTGCTCAATTCAGCGCTTCCCCGCTTTCACGACTGTCTGTTACCTTTCTCGTTGAAAAACTCCTGCCGCCAACCTCTTGCTTCCTCTTGTCGGATGGTGGACTGCCTGTACTCGCTATTACTCGCTGCCACGCCTGCTTTCGGCGAGTACGGTCTTGCATTCTCGTTGATTGTGGTCTGATGGCCGAGAAGGAAGACATGCCGCTGCACAGGCTGGGTCGCGACGAATCGACCAAGCTAAAATGAGTGGTTTCAGCACGTCCTTTCTTCTTTCCTTTGTTCTTCCATGATCCTTTCCCTCCCTTCTTTCCAGTCCTTCCTCCAATCTGTTGATGTTGAAAGGCCTTCAGCCTTAAGACTTGAAGTAAAGTTTTTTGACACAGGTGCCTTGATCTCTGTTTCGTTGGAACTGAGCAGGGGTTTTTCAGGTAATCGCTCGTTCCTCTGAGAACTGGTATCAACCCTTAGGACTTGCCAAAACCCTGCCCAGGGCTGCGGGAAGAGTATCCCGTGATCGTGCAGAAGATCAGGCGGATCACGGGCACGGCCCTACCATGTTTCTGACATGAGAAGCTTCTTTTCGAAAGGCGATGGACAACTTAAACCCAACAGATGGGTTCCAGTAGCAGTGCCAGCTGCGGTGCATGGCATCTAATATTCATTAAAAAAGGGGAACATACCACAGTTCCAAGTTCATGCTGCGGTTGAGCGGGAGGTCAGCTTTGGCAGTGCCGAGTTCGGAGCAACAGGCCCTGGTCAGTTTTGGTGTGGTAGGCCGTAGGCTGCCTGGCCTTCAAACATTCCAGGCATGTGTTCGCCACTGGAGATTGCCGAAGCTAGAGGTCTCGATGAAGTGGAGCGGTTTTAAGCGTTGTGATGACGTACTGTAGATGGTATAGCTGACAAGATTTCCATAAATCTCTAGTGGAAGTCCGCAAGGTGTCAGGCGCAGCCGCCATGGCCTTAGCCCTGCAAAGGCAAGCTCTTTAACAGGATGTCTGGTTCTGGTTCGTAATCGAAGCGGTTATTGGTCGAAAGGCTTCTGAGCCATTGGGCAGAGCCAGAGTCGTGAGGTTATGAAGTTCTTGCGACGACTTGGACACCGCTGCGGGGGCGGTGATCGTTTATCTCCACAGCAGCAGCCCAGCTCCCGGTGCTTGCTGTTAAAGGATGTGTTCTACTTGTTTCCAGCTACAAGGGCTCGCAACATCGCCAGGGATAGTCTTGTGTCAATGCTTTGACATCTGCCTCGTCACTGGGCTTCCAAGGATTTTATGCGAAACTGCAACACCCCCCTTAAGTACTCGTGCAATCTGAGATGTGGCTTCAAGCCTTCGCCACATCCTGAAAGGCGGCGTCCAAAACTCCATCCCAATTTTTTGCTACAGAGGAGGACGTGGAGGACTGTGAGTCCTTTTAATGCAGTGGCTGTTGGACGAAAAGCAACGTGCTAATTCGTATGAAAGGGAAGGGACCTTGAGCTCTTTTCGATGCCTAAGTGACTAGATTGTCAAGTTGCGGCCAAAGCTGGCCCAGGGCCGAGTTGTGGAAGACGGTCGAGGAGCTCAGCCGGAGCCTTGTCGTGGAGCCTTGTGCAGTGTTCTTGTGAAGGCCCGTACGTTGGCGCTTCCTGCCGAAACCACGTGCAAGCAGCATGCAAGCGTGAAGTGGCTGCAAAGGCGTGAGCAAAGAGGCTCGGGACATGCTTAGCTTCGCAGCTTTCGTGCGGGGCCTGGACTTTTGAAAAGGGACATGTCCGCGGAACGTACGGGCAATCTGAAAATCTGAGAGCTCTAAAGCTCTAAATTGATTCTAAGTCGGCTAAGTCAGTCTCCTCGTCTCGCAAAGGTACGCCTCATGGGCTGGGTCCGCCGGTCGGATTTTTCATCGATCCGACATCATTCCGACAAAGTCGGTTCTTTTTTCCGGCTGGCCGAGTCTGTGGAAATCTAGGAGTTTCAGCACATAGTGAATTTTGTGAATTGCTTACTGGAGTTGTGTTGTCTATGCCCCTGACGAGTTCCTGTTTTGGCAGATTGGCCTATGCCAGCCTGTCCCTTACTCTTGCAGCGAGCTGCGTTTAGAGTGTCCGAGCGCTCTGAATACCAGATGCGCAACGGTTTCAGCACCATACGAGGACCATTTGCCTAGCCGGCATCACTGCGAAGTCCACCGCTCTGTGCCTCACAGGTCAGTTCACCCTTGGGCTGTGTGCCCCTGGACAAGTTTTGGCACCGGCTTCACGCTTTGCTCTAGAGGCTCTAGAAATTCCAGGTTCAAGGCCTGCGGCTCGGACTCAGATTTACCTCTGGTGACGCTGGCTGTTTGTCTGTAGTGCTTGCAATTGGCAGCATTCCTTCAGCATGCTTGGCAGTGACCTGCATGCGCTCTTCTGCAGTCTTTCCATAGCATTAGAGTTGTCGCTGTCCAGCGATAGTAGACTTGTTGCGACAGCCGCGACAGCTGACAGCCGCGACAGCTGGCCCAAAAGCTTTGGCGCGAGGGATGTGCTTGGATTACCCTAAGCCGCCTGCGCGGCTACGTGTATGGCTGAGGATATCCATGGAGCTCCTAAGTGTTACTGCACAGGGTGGTTTAGTGGCAAGGTCACTCAAAATGGCCACCCCTTACCCTGGGCCAAGCCTGTTCGGGGGGGGGGGGGGGGGGGGGGGGGGGTGGGGAGCGGTTTCCCAAAAGTCGAAATGCGAGGTGCGCATCGCAGCATCAGTCGGGGAAGGGTCCCAAAGCGAGAACTGCTGTTTGTTTACTTTGGCGGCTACCTTGTTGTCTTACCAGTTTTTCTCTCTTTGGCCATACTTAAACATGTACAACAAGATGTACAACAGACATGTGCAAGAAACGTTTTTGCATTCTTTTGTTTGTACTTTTTTGTGTAGTTGTATTTGTTGGTTTTTCCAAGGCCTAAGGCCCGAACCACCGATGCTCATGCGTGCTTTTTTTGGGTAGTCATTGCCACCCCCAAACATTCGGTCTTTATTTCCCCAAATGGAATAGTTGGGGTCGATGGTGCGTGCCGCGTTTCGTTCCAAGGGCCACACTCCCAGATGCCCGAGCCAGCCGAACAGTGGCATCAAAAGTCATCAAAAGCCTTGACGAAGTTAAGCAGTCAAACATGCGCACAGACGATGAAGGCTTTCGGAGGGCATGGCGGAGCCGGATCTGGCATAGCTTTAGCTTGACGCTTGCGGCCCATGCGTAGCCGGAGCTGGTGGGCAATTTGCTGCTTACCGTCGCTTTTGTTGCCGAACAAGGAAAAGTTTGTCTTCGCAGAGGGGGCGCTGGCTTTGCACCAAAGGAGGTAACTTGTACCAAGCACCCCAACGAGCCAGCACTGTCAGCGTACTGAGCAAGTTCAGAGCAAAGCAAGCACAGCTCCGCCGAGCACCGAATACTGGACCGTAGAGCTGCAGGCCGGGCCACGCAGGTCCTCTGCCCTCCTGGACATGATGAGCAGACTGTGTAGTATGGTCAGTATGGACGGTTGCGAAGGTCCTGAGTATGTGAGTGTCTGCCTGTGAGTCTACGAGATGCTTGTTTCTGCAGGCTGCAGCTCCCGACATCTCATGGAGGACGCGTTACTTTACTTGGCAGTGTTGCTTCACGATGCCATTCTATGTCCTGCACCAGCCCAGGCCACAAACGAGGATCGGCTTGGGATGCACAAAAGCTGCCATGACCTTGACCGTGATCACCAGGACAGAGGCAGAGATGCCGGCTCGGCGGTACTGCAGGCGGGCAGCTAGTGGCTGATGACATGGATGAACGTTAATCTGTCTTCAGTCTCTTGTTCTTCAACCCCGGCAACACATCTTTCGACGGCCCTGAGTGTCGGCAAGGCCCCCTTTTGAAAGGCCCCCTTCTTCCGAATCTTGGGGTGCTTCCAAGCGGCTGCAAGGGCGCTCAACTCTCCCCGAAACGAAAGGAGAATAAAGGAGAATCACACCCCTCACTGCTTGGGACTTGGGACCTTCGAGGCCCTGAGCCCAGAGCCCTTTGGGGATACCCATGAAGCTGCCTCTGACGGGTGACTTCAAGACCATGCATGCGATTTTGTCGAATCCGCCTATTTGGAATATGATGCTGTATGTCCAGCCACTAAGGAATTGCACTTGTTCAAGGCGGTTCATGTCCTGTTTTGTGAACTCATATGACTCATATGGGCTGCTCCCAAGTCCCGAGTGATCCCGAAACCGAATCAGCTCGAAACTTGCCTTCAGCGGCCCTGAGCGGCCCTGCCTGGCTCAGGATTTGCTTCAGCGGCCAGGGCCCGACTTGGTTCGCTGGGCCGTGGAGCAGGCGCCTTGCGATCGCCTTGCGCGATCGTCGCAGTCTTGGAAGGCATTAGTTAGGTACGATTGTGGACATCGCAGCGCTATCAAACGCGCCACTGGTGGGAAGTTCAGGTGCTGGCAGGTGTACATCTTATTGTGCTTGCGTTTGACACTCGAAGTTGGGCTGGACGCTTCTTATATGTCCAGTGAGTTGTTTAGAGAGATTAACTGCTGACATGACATGTGTTTTTTGTCGCTTCTTGGCCTAGTTTGGCTACTTGTCTCAGACTTGTGCATGGCACGCCAAGTGGCCACTCACGGATGTCCGAGTTGTGTGAAAGCATTCCCGGCGTTCTTGGTGAGCTCGAGGCGCAGTCGCTGTCACATCCTGGCACAAATGTGCAACGATCGCAGATCTTCCAGATGGCAGGCGCTTGCAATCGCATCTGACCACTGCTGAGACTGGGGGCCCCTGGGGGCTGTTTGGGACCGATTCGCTGTGTTATCTCGCTCTGCGACCTTGAGGTGCTCTGAATTCGGCTTCAGTCACTGAGAAGCAGGCAAGGAAGTGACGTGCTCCTTGAAGCACCTTGATTCAACTCGAGATCCGTGCCACTCTCAAATTAAAGGAGCTGGTGCGTTCCGCCATCTCTGGCTTTGGGCAGCTGCCGGCGGATCAGAGGGCAGAGGCTTCAAGCTGAGATCGCAGCTTCGTGTTGAGACAGCGTCAGACGTCTGCTAGCCAGATAGCTTAAGATTGTCACTGTTTGAACGTGCGCAGGGCAGATTCAGGTTCGGGTAGATATTGCTGCCGCAGGCACTCCGCCTGGTGGTCAATACTGCAGCAGCAGCACAAGCCACGAGCTTTTCATGATGAGTGCGCAGCTGTGTGCATCGAAGTCAGGGCTTGTGAAGCATCCATCATGGCATTTGTTGCGAGCCTGCAAGGTTGGTCAAACATCTGCAGTGGCACGGGCCGTGTTGGGGTTGGATTTCGACATGAGGGTCTTCCGCTGGTGTTGTTCTCTGGAGAAGGTCCACATAAGGAGTGGGAGGGGCGATGCCAAAGAGTCCGAGGGGGCTGCTTTCAAGTCACACTCGCATTTCCATATCCAAGCATCGCGACAGGCGCAGGCGCAGGGTGAGGTTCCTCCTCTGATGCAGGCCATTTGCAGTTGCCATGAGACATCATGAGACCGTAGTGGAACTTGGAGTCGGTTTGGTGCTCAGAACGTCATGGTCGTCATGAAGGAGGCGAGGCTGCACGAGATGCCAAAAGAGGAGAGCTTCACATTTGTGGTCTGGGCCTGCTGCTACCTGTTTGAGCTCCTCGCGATTTCGAGATCATCTGAGATCATGGGATTTCTACCGAGTGGTGTGCATAGGAGCAACAGATCCTGGTACAGGCCACTGCGCCTGATTGGTGTCTGGCTTGCATGGCAATGTTGGCAACATTGCTAGCAATTGACGGGCTCTGCTTGCAGTGGTTCTGGCCTGTTTCCCTTGAACTGTCAAGAAGTCTGAATCTTAGCTCCCAGCAGCGCCGAGTCCAGGAGGCCCGGCAAGATGCTGTGGAGATGATTCAGCCACAGCAGGTTCTCGAAGTCGGCAGCCAAAGCGTGTTCTTCGTGTGCATGTGGCATTGCAATAAGGGTAAAAGTCAGATGCTTTAATCTTGCTCGCGTTCCGTCGTCTCGTTTCATGCCCTAAAGTTGAGAGACGGGCTAGGTCTCGTCTTGCAGCCAACATGCTTAAACCTAATTCCCTTTGATAATGTGTGAAAGACATTCAGATGAAACCCCGAAGTCGCGAGTCGCACTCGATGCACTCTACGAGAAGGATACTGGCCCATGATGGCCCCTTCCCCCTTCATTCTCCCCTTCTTTTCCTTGTCCTTCGCTCTGCAAAGGTGGTGTCGGAGCTGAGACCGGAAGAGCGGCATCAAGTCACCGAGGTCAGCTCCATTTTCGTTCAGATCATAGCATGCCAAGCATGCCAAGCATGCCAATTTCACAGCTTGCCTATTTATATAGAGCCTATGTGTGACATCGGTACGGAGCCGCTGCATGTCGTGCTGTGCCGCGGCGGACGAGCACACGCAGCAGCGGTTGCTTCTGCTGTGCTGCGATATGCTGCGATGCAGATTCGTCCGGGTACACCGGCGTCGACTCACAGATGGGTTCAAGATACAGGTAGAACTGTAGAACTGCACAGCCGACTGTTCGGCAGAGGGCTTTTTTCTGCCATTGCCATGGCCACAGCTGTGCACACAGCCGCGCCATGCACGGTCCAGTCCTCAGCGCTTCAGGAGTGACCTAACGCATGCCATGTCCATTCCGTTCTTATCGCATCGAATGTACTCCCAAGCTTGCGGAGCATGGAGAATGGAGAGAAGAGAACAGAGTACGTTTGGGTTTAGTTCGGAATCTTCCAGGTAACTGCGAGCACGATGCCTCCTCCTCAGTTACACATGAATCTGTGCATCCTTGTGACTTGTTGCAAATGCGTTGTCTGATCTGCATAAGGCGTCCTGTTTACGCAAGCAGCGGGAATGGGCCAGAGACTTATTCGCTACTGACTTATATATGCCGATCCCTAGCCTAGAGGCATTCTGCCTTTGTCGAACTGGCCATGAATCAAAGGCAGCAGCGAGAGCGCTGGATAAGTAAGAGCCGACCGTTTGTAGTCGTAATGACTTCCGCCTGTCCTGGAATGGCAGTGCGTTGCAAGATCCCAATGTAGATTTTTGTGATAATCGACTCCTGTTTGTGCTGAAAAGATTAACAAGTTGCTGACAGCTCGTGGGCAGATGCCTCTTCATGTGAGGTCTTTCGTCCCTGCAGCGCCCATGCCCCAGGCAGGACTTCTAAATCACATGTCTGACCATCTGATTGAACCCAAGTCTTTGCATATTGAGAGTAACATGAGACAAGTTATATAAGTTGCAATGCACTTGCCGAAACACTTGACCATGTGCAGGTGGCTCCAGGAGGGTGCGGGCCTTGGCCGTGGCTTTCAACCGTCAGAGAGTTCTGTGCTTCTCATCATTCAGCAGAAAGCAGGCTCTGGGCTCTGGGATCAGGAAATGCTTTCGAACGGATGTTGGAAGTTGCGAATGCATTGTGCCTCCAAAGACCGGAGAAGGTCACAACGCGTGTGCTCCAAGTTCAACCTTAGTTTGAGCTCGGAATTCACGTCGAGGTCCTATGCGCCACCAGTGGTAGCGCACCCGGGAGCTGCGCTACTCAGCAGCACAAGAGTGAGACGGAAATCCTGAAGTGGATGGTTGGGATGTGTACAATCCATTCCTCGTACTTGCGATGGCATCGCTGCTGCTGTTGTGCCGTACCTGTTGCAGCTGGTTCTATACGCTTCTCCGCTTGCTGATGCTCTCTCGTCATTTCTCGGCTACCCTTTGACAAGACAAATGTGAGGTCTGTGAACCTCACGGAGGGCATACCGGACCCGGACTCCATCGAGCAGCACGGCTCCCCAGTGTGCCAGACCTCACTCCGGTCCCGGGAGTCAGTACATGGGGCATGTCGGAGTGGTGCACAGAAGAGAGTCGAGGCAGCTACCCGTACCACCGATGCTAGTACGACAGCGACTCCTTGCCCCTACCCTTACCCTTACCCTTACCCTTACCCTTACCCTTACCCTTACCCTTACCCTTACCCTTACCCTTACCCTTACCACCACCACCACCACCACCACCACCAGCACCACCACCACGACCACCACGACCACCACGACCACCACGAACACGAACACACGAACACGAACACACGAACACGAACACACGACCACGACCACACGACCACGACCACGACCACACGACCACACGACCACACGACCACACGACCACACGACCACACGACCACGACCACGACCACGACCAGGACCAGGACCAGGACCAGGACCAGGACCAGGACCAGACGATGACGGCGGGACGGCGGCGACGACGACGACGAGCCGTCCCCACCCCCCTTACTGTAACTGCACATTGCATGGCAGGCGTAGTATTTGGAAGCACTTAAGACATGTACCGCTTGCAACAAGTTCCAGAATGCCTTTAGGTGATGAAGTTTTACGGGATGGCTGAGCCGTGTTTGACATGTCAAAAAACATGTACCGGATGTTCGTCTGAAGCAAAGTTTCTGATCTTGCGCGACTGGTAAGATGGACGTAATCATCGATGCGCTGGTAACATGGGTGTGGCGTAATAATCGCTGAAGACTAAACCCTGAACCCTTAGCCGGCTGAGGGAAGATTAAGGAACATGGCGGCTGTTCTCGGCTCGACCTCTCTTAGTGCTCGGCACGCTCTCTTCGTTCTTGACTTGCGCCGCCGATACACTCCCTGCTGTTCCCGACTCGCCCTCCGCCTGCCCCCGACACATGTCTCTGACTCACCCATCATCCGGCGCTCACCAGGAATGCAGACCCTTTTAGCACAAAAGCTAGCTCCTTGGACAACCTTCTTCTTCTGGGGGCAAATGAGGCCTTGCGGGGGGGTTAATCCCTGATATCTCAGGGATTCCTCAAGATGCAAGAACAAACATGGCCAGCGAGAGGTGCGACACTCAACCGTCCGGTCTCCAGACTGCCCTCAAACAAAAATGTACGCTGGTCATCTTTGCGTCCGCCCTGCTCTCAAGTTATACAATTTGCGACATCCTTCATTCATTTCACTCTGTTCTTCGCTGAGGCAGAAGCGAGCCTACGAACGTGGACTGGACGCGGAGTTGGAGCAGTCCCGAGCCTACAGACTCCCGAGACTCCCCACGCCTTCTAAACTTCATTCGTAGCTAGAGCTGCAAGGACTCGGAAGCTGGCAGAAGAGCAGCTGAAGCAGCACCACCCGGCAAGTTAACACGCTGACGTCCGACCGCTGCGCTTCAGCTTTACGCCCTTTAGCAAGCCACCGGCCAGGCAAAAAGCAGCCATCAGGGCTGCAGCAGAGCAGCAGCTGGCGATGTACAAGGCACCTCACCTCGCCTCTCCGGAAGCTTCTTGTTTGGTCTCCTGAATCAATGGAATCAATGTTGGATGATGTTGGTCTGTATTCATATGGTGGAATATACTGAGCGAGACGCTACATAAGGCAACGCTCCCTTACAGAGGAGATCGCCAGGCTCAGCCAAGCTCTTCCTTGCTTGGAGCTTTGTGGTTTTGCCAGGCGCAGGTCGACCAGTCGATTCGACAGCAGGAGCTCAGCCAAGCTCTTGGGGAGTAGTGTGGAGTGGAAGCTGGGACTATGTGTCACTGTCACTCCTTGCTTCTCGGGATGTGCTTGGCAGCATTTCGCTCGGGGAAGTTTGCATCCGGAGGATGAAAGGGGGCATTGCCGGTTGCTTCTTGAGATCGTCTTGCCAAGGCCTAGACCACCAGTGGCAGCAACAGCAGATGGAACTGCAGCAGGCTGTCTGCCGTTTCGAGCAGATTCGAATCGCACGATGCGCGAATCGGGATGATGGCTTGGGTTAGGGATGCCCAGCTTCTCGGATCTGGATCTGGGATCTGGCTATGCTTGTCTAGAGAGACAAACCATAGAAGAAGACGAAGCTTTTCGGAACTTTCCATCGCCATACCCGGCAGCCATAGAATTCGAGGAACATGTCTGCGAGATTTCTGAAGCCACTGAAACGAGGCGTTTCTGAAACAGAAGGCGGCGCTGGAACAGCAGGTGCTTTGCAGAGGGCCCGAGATGCGCAGCATGTTGTCAAAGAGCCGTATGTAAGAAGCGCAGGAAGTGCAAAAGTGTAAGAAATGAGATGACCTGAGCCTCCTTTTGAACCTCTGTTTAACTGTTTAGCCCTTTGTTTAGCCTCTTCCAGGCCAGCTCCCTGGCAATGGAGTACCAACAGCGGAAGATGCACGAGGAGCTGCTGAGAAAACAGGCGGAAGGGCAGAGAGCTTCAGAGCGAGGGTAGAGCTGCGATATGCTGCGATTTTTGTCAGTTTCCAGGTTCCTCTTAAAGGGTCCCCGAGTGGCAAGGCTCCGGGCTCCCTCTAGCCGTGATAGCCGTGACAGCCGTGAACAGGCCGACATGCAGCGTGAGATGCAAGAGATGCAGCGGCGGATGCACGTGGACCGATGGGATTAGGAAGCAAGGGTCGCTCGCACGAGCCAGCACCCGCGCGCAAGACAATACAAGAGAAAAGCGCACGCACATGCACAGCAGCACAAAGATTGTTTGGTCAGAAACTTGTGCGTCTCGAAGAGTATGAGGAGAACCACGGTGAGTGAAGCCGGGACGGAGCTGAACTCCTACGAACATGCCTGGCATGCCATAGCTGCCACATGTGGCTCCCAGTTTCTAAGCAAAATGCACATAAACTACGCAATCCCTCGAGACACATTGGAATCGAGATGCGCAAATGTGCAGGAGCTCCAGGAGCACCAGCAGCAGTGGCCCTCACTGCATTGGAGTCTAAGGGAGCTGGGCATGAGTCGTCCAGGGTATCCTGCTTCGATTTTCTGGCGGGTGGTCGGGACAGTCGGTGGTTGCCGGTGCAACCACAAGCCTCAATTCATGACCAGGCAGGCCAGCCTCCAGCAGCAGCACGCTGTGACTTGGACCAGCACCTATTGGGTGCTGTGTTGGACCGACATGCACAACCGAAAACCTTGGCATTCTGCGCCGTTCGATGTTCCCAAGTGATGTGCGGTATCTTCCAATGACTAGCGTTGTCGGACTGGTCTGTAGTGCTTCAGATTCTAAAGCCCCGTAGCGGTTCACTATTCAAAGTCCTGTGAGCCCGGTGCAAGCCATTAAGGAAGTATAGGCATTCTCCAAGATGTGAGAGCCGAGGTGCAGCGGCAGCAGCACCAGGAGGAGCTGGCTGCCCAGCAGGCCGGCAATCCTGATGCGATCAGAGCCGCTTGGAATCCCCTGAGTGGGTTGTTTTGAATTGCGGTCCTCATGTCTTGGGACATGGGCACCTTGTCCGACAGGCGAAGTACTTGCAGACGCAAGCCCAGTCGATGGCTGAGACATGCTGCAGCTTTGATGTGGCAAGTGATAACCTTGTAGCTGCTTTGTTTCTCCTGAGAGCTGCGAGCAGAAACTTTCTACAGTCCGTACAGTACATACAACTACTGAACAACATTGAACACCACTTGTGAACGACGCAACGCCATGGAGGCCTGGGGCCTTGCAAGACTTGTGCGACGTGAATGTTCTTGATCAGGATGAACACAAGCAACGCAGGAGCCGCTGCGTGCTCAGGGGGTACTGTGATGTATGGTGTTATACTTTCGTGTGTGCCGTCTATGCTTCTGCCTCCAATAAACATAGTGAAGAGGTTGAGTAGTTCGCATCGGGCTGCATGAGGTTCAGAATTGTAGGCTTGAGGCCCCAGCCAGAGTTTGGTGCCAGGCTCCTCTTGGCAATGGTTGCCACCTAGGATGTAGCAGCCAAGTTTGTGCCTAATGCTGGACCTTGATGAGGCTCTCAAGCATGATTGTGAACTGTGTGAGCTCCTTTTTGGCAGCTTTTTGCAGCCAGACTCCCAGAGCCCAGGTTTATGCGGCACCCATGACCTCCAGTTTTACCGTGGCCACCCCGCCACTGCCTTATCAGGCTCGACTCGCTCTGCATGTTTCGAATTCTACACTTTTTTGCTTGAAGCTTGTTGAAGTTAGCTCAAGGGTTTTCGAGACATTTCGAGACGGATGCTGCAGAACGTACCGTCTCTCCACGCTTGCATCTGGTTCATTCCGGTTCTCTGAAGTGAGTACAGCGTTTGATCGTCATGTTGCGGCTTCAGCCAGAGCCAGACAGACTACAGCGGCAGCAAGCTTCAGCTCGGGAGATAAGCTCTCGAAGTCGAGAGGCAGTGTGAAGCAGTGCCTCAGATCTCCACAGCACCAGTACCGCATGGCACGAATCTGATTGTTCTGCTAGTTGACGTCACGACTTGATAGATCGATCTTAAAGCGATACGCTGCAGGGAATGAAGGGTGCTGCTCGTCAACAGCAGGTGTCTCCAATGCCAGCAGCTGCAATAACTGCGGCGAGCGCGCCGATGGCAGCGCCGCTGGTCACGAAGGCGCTCGAGTTCGGGGTCGGCGGGTTGGCATGTGTGAACGTAGGAGCATTGGCTGCAAGAATCTTCGGTCGCATCCGGTGGCTTAAGGGTTCGGCAGCGGACATGAAGTGAACAGAAGACCTGTACTCCTTTCGATGTGGAACTTCATGACTTCATCCAGCAGGTCCCAGAAACTTCTCTGGCTGCGCCTCAGGAGCCCTTGGTGACCTGGGTGGCATTGCTTTTTAGTTAGGGTCCGGGGGGCGGGGGGGGGGAGGTGCGGGAGGGAGAGTCGTTTCCAAGCTGCCTGCGTACAAGTGTCACCCCGAACACCTTAGATACAACGGTTCTCGCGCTGTGCTTTCTGCAGCTTCATATTCAATATACAACAGGCAGTGTCGCCGCGCGTATTCCACGAATCCAGTGCACGTTGCAACCTATTCAGACAGACCTGCGCTTGCCGAATTCCACAACGACCAGGTCATGGGCTCGGCCGTCCAGCACATGCCTACTTATCCTGCCGAAGCCTTGAATTCAGTTCCAAGAAGCTTGTGCATCTTGTGCCTTCGAGGACCTACATATTGGCAATTATCCGGGCACAAGTTGTTGGTCAGGGAATCATGTGCTCGTCCCAAATGGCCTGGGAGCGGTGAAGCTAAGCCAAGACTTGAGGCTCTCAAGTGGCAGAGGAACCTGACATGGGACATCCCAAGTGTATCCGCCACAAGTACATCTTTCATTCGGTTTGAAGAGCAAAGTCAACCCGGCAGTTCTTTCTGCAGGAGGGCCAAAGCCAGCTTAGGTTACGCGATTGCCAAGTCAGTAGGTTCGGGTTCGGCATCGCGCTTCAACATTTTCGGTTTAGAGGGGTCAGTCAGCTTTCATAGTCCTGGCCACCAAACAGCGGACTTGAATACAAGCCAGTTTTTGAAATGCAGTCGACAATTTCATCGGATTCCATGTCTGTCTGGCAGCCTTTGCTGAGGATTTGCTGAACCCAGCGCAGGGCTACGTTCCTGTCACCGGAGCGACAGGTAGCGCCTTACAGGCCAAGTCTAATATATTGCTCTTTGATGCTTTGAGTGACAGTTGCATCTAAAGGGCTCAAGGTACCCAGATCCGAAGCCGCAGAGTGCCCCGTGTTCTAGTCAAATAAAGGAGACCTCCCCCCACGCTTTCTGAATGTTTCTGATGCTTCAGGCATCCAGCAGCACTTGCGCAAACTGTGGAAACATTTTCATGGCGGATTCACTCTACTGTCGACACTGCGGGCAGAAGCGCGATCAGGCCATTGCAGGGAGGGTCAGGATTGTTGCGTTGTGTGGATATGTGTGGATGTGCAAGCCATTTATTGAAAAAACAGCTTGCCACATTGTGCGCCACTGAGCATGATCTCTGGCAACTTGGCACAGCTTCTACAGGGGTGCGCGCTGTGCGGTGCATCGATTGGAGTGGCTTCGTACTACACGCCACCAAGCCTCCGAATCATGGTCGGCTCCTAATTTGTGGCGCCTTGATGTTCCGTCTGCTTAGTCTAGCTTCGACCTGGGAAGTATGGAAGTGTCGGAAAGTATGGAAGTAACATTCCAATCATTGCTCATGCGGGACCTGAGCAGGCGCCTTCATCGTGCGTCAACTGTGGCAGCACGTTCTTGCCAGATGCGATATTCTGTCGCAAGTGTGGTACAAGGAGGGGGCAGGCCAGGCTGGGCATTGTTAATGGACCTAGCGTGTGATCTTTTACGATCATCCGTTGTTGAAGGTTCGATGCAGTTCTTTCTGGTTTACATGGGGGATCTCAGAATTCGCGCGCTGCAGTGTGATTCATGATGTGTAGGCCGATGGCCAGAAGTCCAGGGCATGTGGTTCGGAGTTTCTGATGCTGGGCTTTCATCATCTTGTTCAGATTCAGGGGTGGAGAACTCGAAAGGAGTCGGGAGCATGCGACAGGCTTGATGCCCTCGCGCGGTGTTGCGATCGGCGAGCTGAGCGACACTGAGACGGCGATGGGTCCCATGGGTTGTCGGTATGGGTGAACTCCCCGGTGTAAGGACTCTACTTCGAATGTGCGAAGTTTGATAGGTGAGGGACCTTGGTCAAGGAGTCAAGCAGGTTTCGTTGCCGAGGGACTTGGTTGATGTTAACGACTGCAACTCTGCTCTTAATTAGGCAGCCGAGTGGCAGGGCAAAGAGGCAATAGAGTCTCAAAAGAGCAAACTCGCTTGCGGACGGTTGCAGCAAAATGCAGTGTATTCAGCATGCTTTCGCAGTCCAGGCACTCTGGGAGTTTGCAGAGTATTCTCCACGAGAAGACTAGCATTGTTTCACGTGTATGCTGGAGTCTGCCAACACGTTTGCTTTGAGATCCTGTCTGGCCCTGCAAGTGCTGTCCGACGCCCTCTGCCGACTCACAACACTTTGACTTTGAAGGTACCGGTAACTCAGATGCCGCTTCAAACGCGCTGCACGTGACAGCAAATGCCAACCTACACAAAGACTAGTGACCTTGTCTTCTTGCAAACATCGCAGCTCTCTTCAATACATATCTGTGGAGGTCGGTAGCACTATTAATTATATCGTGCTCGACCCGGCCACGGCTTGCTTACGGTTCAAACATGATCGGAAAAGGATGAAATTTCAGAGCTGGCCGTGGAGCTGCCAAACAATCCCGCGACACCTCGACAAGATCGGGTTAGCGGCATGGGGCCGATAATTCAGCGAGACGATGTCGAGAGATCGCGAGAGCTCAGGACAAAACGTGCAGAGCAATTGCCTTTCTGGGGGGCTCTGAGTCTCACTTTGCAAACGCTGACCGCCTCGGCCGGCCCGTCTGCAGAATCAGGGATGGGAGTTACCGGGTGGGGGGTGGGAGATGTGGGGATGGGCGGTGGGATGGGGAGTGGAGTGGAGTGGAGAGGGGCAATACGTTTTTATTCGGCTGAGACTAGATTCTGTTGAAGTGACAGTACGGTCACACAGCATTGCCGTAATCTTGTGGTACAGCCTTTGGAGCGTTTCGGAACCTGCAGCATTGAAGCTGGCGATATCGTGCCCAAAAGTAGGTTCAGGTTTTGAATTGCAGTTGGCTCGGCTTGCGATGTGCACAGCCAGGCACTCATTGAAGCCAAGATCGTCTCGGAGGCAATGCTGAGATGTTTTGTCGGCCTCAATAGACTGCGAAGTGAAGAAGCCAGCTGAATCGCGGTTTTTTGCGAATATTAATCAAGTACGAAAGATACTTTGGATCGGTGCGAACGAGCTCCGCACAGTGGCCGCGGAAGCATGCGGAAGGGTCTGGGGAAGCAACTTCTCGCGGAAACTCGCAAACGGGCACATGACATCTGCGGAGACTTTGCGGAAACTCCATGCAAGCGGCGAACGGGGTCGATTCTGAACCGAAGGCTTTTGTCTCTCGCAGCTTTACTTTGCTGAGCCGATACCAGAAATCCAAAGCTCGGGGCGCAATACAAGCATCGGTTTGAACTTCGAGTGTCATTCCACGGGACATGTACCGAAGACTACAAGTGTACTTCGTGGAAGTAACTGTACGAAGGCATGCGAAAATGGCTCCGCGGAAGGAAGTGTTGAAAGCAAGCCCTCAGAAGCTACCTCGAGCGGCACATGGTCTGCAGAAGGGTTCTGCGAAAGAAAAGTATATATCAATTGTCCACCTCATCGAACAAAAGCAAAAGCTTAGCTGGCGAGTGCGCCATGCGGTGAACATCCGAAATACATGACTAGCTGACTGATTAGGTTTTAGAGAAGATATCTGCTTGCGCAGGATCAGCAGCCCGCTTTGGAGGCAGCGCTGAAGCCAGGAGGGTCAGAACCTCTGTCACCGTGGTCATGTTTACAATGTCGCAGAGACCTCCGGCTTGTGTCTTTACAAATATCTTCTTGCGGTCTCCTTTGCGGTCTTTGCTTCCTTCACGTCCTTCGCTTATTTCGGACATTGCTCTGCAGAATCAAGTTCGCGGCTGTTGGGCAGCACACCACTTCCTGATCTGTCCCGAACCATGTTGCCTTGCGACATACGAAGGCTTGCTGATGTGCTGGTGAGCGGCATGAAGCTGTTCACCCTTGCTCAGGAGAATGCCTGGGCTCGAGACCTAGCAGACGGAACTGGTTTTCAAGTCAAGCCGGGTTTCTAGTCGGGTTGACATTCTTCGTCCCGAAATGAAAGGCTTTGAAAAAAATCAAAGGGCGCTCCGCAATATTTGGGTCTTTGCATACCAAGTAAGTCATGACCACACCTTTTATGTTTTTCCGCGTATATGCTCAGACGGGGGGGCAACACCTAGGTTGGTCGGGGAGGAACTTTTTAGCGTGCTTGGAGGGAGGACACGCAGGAAAACGCAAACACCAAAGCCATCGCTATCCAAAGACCCATGTCCGCTCTCTGATGGGTTTTTGGAACATGAAGTGATTTATTGAAGCTCCCCTTTCTGTCTGCAATTTCTGACCTGACTTAGGCGTTCGTGGCTGTGCCTTTCGGCGAGCTCTTCTTGGCACTCATGTTAGGTGCGCAGTGAAGCTTTGTTGCTCATCATCCATCATCTGCAAATGCAGTTGTTGCGAAAGTTGTACCAGCGGCTCCAGGTTTCACAGGATTAACATTCCGAAAGTGCATCTCAAGCAGACAGCGACTGCAAAGAGTGTCCAGCGAGCGCTAGACTTTGCTAGACAGCTGCTCGAAGCACATCAGCCACTTCCATTATTGGGTGCACCGGACGCAAGCCACGCATGCAGGAGTGCTAACATGTTCTTCCGGACTTAACGTGAGCAGCTCAGATCTGGAGTCCTGCAAAAGGTGACAAATCGCCAATGGCGCTGGCATGCAACGCCACGCAATTGGGCACACAAGTATCACAGATTGCCCACTACTGTAGCACACTGTGGGCAGGTGCACAGGGTGAGAAGGCAAACAGGCGAAGCCTCCATTCCCTCGCAGTGAAGCCCAGACCTGGCTCCGTGCGGATGCCGTGTACTCCCTGCTGACCTTGGCTGGCGCTGCGTCCTGAGCGTCCGCTCTGAGCCGTGGCTTTCAATGAATTCAGGTTGCGATGCACGAACACTGGGCAGGCGAGAGCACTTAGCCTAGGTGGTAGCACACACGCATAGCACAACCAACCCACCCACCCACCCACACAGAACACACACTAGAGAGAGTATGTCCGAGATTCTGCTGTAGGCTTGGTTCGCAAGCCAGCACCTGGAGCAAGTCCTTCTTCGCGTGAAAGAAGGTGCTGGCATCATGACACTGCGATATGGTTTTGATGGTTTTAACTGCGTCATACACCACTCATGCTCTGGGCAAGGGGGTCGGATCTGTGAGACTAGGACAGGTACTGAACGAGGCTAGAATGTTCTCGAAGCTTTGGCACAGACCCGATGGGGACCGTTCGACGCTGGCAGCTGGCGGAGGTCGTGTTAGCTTGGTTTTCATCGATTTCCCGATGTTCTTTTCTGAGTGGCAGTGCGCATGGTGGTGTGCAAGAGCAGTCACTAACTGGTGGACTCAAAGAGTGTTAGTAGTTTTGCTTCACGCAGGGGTGGGCAACACGACACGGTGAGCAACGCATGCAAAGAGTGCAGACAGTGCAGGCGCAGAACCAGACACTGCGCCGCCGACTGGAGGAAACTGCAGGAACCTGAGCATTTGGGGGATCCGTGGGAGCTCACAAGGAAAGCAGGTGAGCCCATTGTCAAGCTTGAAAGAGACACCCAGCAAGACAAAGTCCGTGCGTGTCCCGCCTCTGTTCACTATCCCGTTTGGGAGGTGCCTGGCGTGGAGTTCCAGGCCTACCAACTTGGCGCCCTCGGTGGGTGCCTGAGGGTTTTGCAGCATTGGCAGCACCAGTTAGGCAGCTAGTCACATGGCTCCTGATCCGGGGATCACGCCCCCTGCTTCTCCTTGAATGATAGCACCCAGGCGTCGTGGTGGCCGCGGCTTTCCTGGCCGTTGGTCTGATGAACACGCTTGTCGGGCTCTTCGATGCTTGGCTGAATGTATATTATTGCATGCCTCTGAGCGTCATCTTCGACTGCAACAAGCAGAAAAGGGACAAGGCTCGGTGGAAATCTGGGAATCGACGAAGAATACAAGTCATGGCTCGCAGGCAGCAGACATATTTCTGTTGCGCGCGTCATAACTGTCCTAGCGTCCAGCAGAAGTTGCCCGACGCAATTGAGCTTGGAGATGTGCCTGGCAACAGCCAAGGAATTACTCGTCAGGTCCTTGGAAACTGAAGGGCCTGTCATTTTGTCACTTGCGGGTTTCGTCTGGCTGCTGAGAAGATCCGAGAGTCTTGCAGATAGCAAACCTAGGCGATGTGTCAGCTCTGTGCAGAGGAATCAGCGAGAAGTAGGATAGCAGGTCACCTTCATAGCCGGCTGCAGCATCCTCGTGGTTCTCACAAGCATGGCGTTCCTGGCGCTTAGGCTTGGAAAGCAGGGTTGCTTCACTGTGGCATGAGGTGTGTCATGACAAGTGACAAGGTATCTGCACGTGCCATAGCAACCACGCCAGCCAGAGTGAGAATCCCGACCACGACCATGAGTCATGACCCGTTATTCTGCTAGACTTTCTTTCGGTGCACACCCTCTTTGTGGGCAAGTAGTGGGCAATGGCTCTGGCAAATGCAGGTGCGTGATGGTCTTTGGCTTGCTTCAGGACGGACCCGATGCTGCATGTCGTTAGTAGGAGCTCATCGTTTTGTGATCGTGCGTTGCACCAAGCACCAATGAGATCAGGATCATGCAGGCATGCAGTCGAGTAAAGAAATATGTTAATAGTGGCAGTATCACGCATGGCCAGTGCCTCAGAACTTGGGCTGAAAACACCTGGCAACTGCATGCTGTACCTAGCAACAACAGAGAATAAAACGCAAGCCATTGTAGGTTACCTTCAACGTGCTAGCTCAAGACAACTCTAGATTCAAGAAAACTTAAACTAAGCCCCTGCAAGGGAAAGTAGTGGCCAGAGGCGCACGCTCCGGATGAAAATGCCCCAGAGGTTTAAAGGCAAGAGCAGCCTACAAGTTACCTGCACCTGAGACCAAAGGTGGCAGGGACGCTTCTCACCCAAGCATCCGGCACGGGCGTCGGTGCGCAGCGACCACTTCTAGAGGCGTGGAAGAGAGATGGAAGTGGGATGAAGAGAGCCTAGGGGTTCTTTTTGTTTATATGGCCCATGCCTGTATGCAGTGGCGTCGAGTGCCGCGCGAGGGAGCTAGCAGGGCCGTTTGACGAGGAAATAAATCCCGGACAAGTGCAAGCACAATCAATGAGACATCTCCATCACTCTCACACGCTCCCCTCTCGCTGTCCCTCTCTATCTCCTCCTGTCCTTCTCCCTCCCTCCCTCCCTCTCTCTCTTTCTCTCTCTCTCTCTCTCTCTCTCTCTCTCTTTCTCTCTCTCTCTCTTCTCCGTCGCCTTTGGGGAGTATAGCACTCCCTCCGGCAATTGTGCTGAGTCCTCTCTTCTCCTCGCCCTCTGAGCCCTCAAAATGTGTTGCGAAAGCGGTTGCGAGAAATGCTTCCGAACGTTCCCACTGGCAATAACTTTACAGCCCCCCCCCCCCCTCTAGCCCCATCTCGTCTCTCCCCCAATCTGCCATTATTCGTGACGTGCCCTGTGCAACAGCTGCCGGCAGGGGGGCTTCTCAAGTGGCAACGAGGGCCACTCCGCCTTTTGAGAAGGGTTGCCGGACGTGTCGGCGCCATGCGTTCGGCGCATTGTGGTGGCTGCTGCTGATGGCCTTGTGGTTTTTCAAGCCCTTGGCACGAAGCATCATGGCAGCGAAACAGAAGATTATTTGCGGCCTGCATGTCCTGTAAATCCCACGGCCGCCACTGTAGGCTCCCAGAAGAACGAGTCACCCTCAAAGTCTGCCAAAGTTCAGCGTTAAAAAGGTCATGCGCTCTGAGTGACTGTGCTGGTCTTCCAGTGGCAGATCGCGTGGCTGCATGATTAGGGCAGCCTTTGCATGTGTTTTGGTCGTTGTCAGTCAGCCGCTCTAATCAGTCACCGATTCATGTAGGTACAATGCACATGCACAAACTACCAACTAGGACCTAACTAGGAGCGCTTCCACAGAAAGTCCTCTGCCACGGGTTACATACATCCATCCGAGCTTATGGCCCGTGTTGCCCGTCGCAAAGCCAAGCCCAGCTGGTCGTGGTCTTGGCTTATCAGTCACCGATTCATGTAGGTACAATGCACATGCACAAACTACCAACTAGGACCTAACTAGGAGCGCTTCCACAGAAAGTCCTCTGCCACGGGTTACATACATCCATCCGAGCTTATGGCCCGTGTTGCCCGTCGCAAAGCCAAGCCCAGCTGGTCGTGGTCTTGGCTTCTCAGATTCTGTCGGATTTCAGTTGGACATGAAGAAACGAGGAGGACACGCCAGCTATCGCCACCTACTTCCTGGGAGCCTAGAGGCAGCTGTGGTGGTCTTCATCAGTAGTTCAAGGGAGGCATGGGTGGCCCCCTCGTTCCCTCCAAGAAGACATCAGTTGCATTATGTTGCATGGCATAGTCGTGAGTCTAGGCAGGCACTAGTATTGGATGCATGGCTCTTGGGACACGCACCTTGCGAGCTTGTGCTGATGTCATGGCCATGAGCGTCGAGCTACATTTCTGGATCCTGCAAAGCTCGCCCCGCCTCCTTGCCTCCGAAACGCTTTTCAAGATGTAAGCGCACGGTCTCTTCAAGCAATCCCGCTAGCTGACCACTTCAGGACCACAAAACACCCCTGCCCCGCCAACCTACGTCTTGGCTTCGCGCAATCGCAGCACCGAACAATAACATGCCGATTGCAAACCTTTGAGCAGTCACAGAAAGTCGCTTTCGCTCCCGTCGATCGAAAACTTGCCTCGCCGTGGATGAACTGCTGAACCCAAACCGTTTTTATTTTGTTCATATCTCCCTCCAAGGTCTCCGAGCATCGATACTGTCTCGGGGTATCTCGCAGTGATTGCTGTGGCTGGTGCAGAGCTCAGGGCCTCAAGGGTCACTTTGATGATGAGCAGTGTTCTGGGCAACGTCTCAGCCGAGCACCTTATGATGCCCAGCTGCTCTTGCATCAGGAAGTGTGGAGCACGAAGTCGTACCGCATCCTGGTCACTAAGGGATGGTGCTGTGGCTTCTTTGGAGCCTGGGCCGGTTGCAGCAAGAGGTCGATGGGCTGGAATCCCAGATCCACGGGCTTCCTATTTGTCAGATCCGCATGACTTGTGTGGCAACCGTTCCCGGCAGCGTATGGTATTGGTACCGCAAGGCTAGCGGCCCGTGCAGAAGTGGGCGTACAGGAAGTTCGAAGGCCACGGCCACAGCCTTTTTCAGTTTCCACGTTCGTAAATATCTGACGTGGGAAAGTCTCGAATGCTGCGTTATCTGAGCTACTGGTGAGCAAGCAGATTCTGATCAGTACTCTCTCGCTCTCTCACAAATAGATCAAACGGACTGTGTATACATATACATAATACATACATACTAGTACGAGTACATGCATGTATACACACATATGCCTATATAAATAAGCAAAAAAAATAAATGAATAAATAAATAAATAAATAAATGTATATGTATATGTATATGTATATGTATATATATATATATATATGAACGCATGTTTGCATGTCATGTGTGTGGGAGCCAAGGCTGCTGGACCCCCGCGGAGCGTTTGGGGTCTAGGCGACCCCGAAGAGCACGCCAGCGAGGGATCCGAGGGCCGCAGATCTGCCAGAATCTGCCAGGGTGGCAAAGTGTCAGGTTGGCTTAAGTCGATCATCTTACAGTGTCTTTTACAGCTTCAGCAGGTTGACCCGTATGGTGACCTTGGTGATGTCTGCCCAGGCCTGAGCACATGGTGGTTCGACGGTTCCTGGTCAGCTAAACTCAGAAATGTTGAGACCATCAGTATCATGCCCGTCAGTATGTTGAGGGTTGGCTAGACCGTTCGGCATGACACATGTTCCAAAAGTTGAGATTGTAGAGTTGCAGTGTCTGTGCTTCGGGGTGGCTGGTTGGCACAAGTTCTGCGCAGTATCTTCAGCGCGTATCCAACTCGATTTCAAGGAGCCAAGACAGCACGCACGCCCCAAGGCCCTAGGAGCTTGGGGGCATCATGGTCAAGCTTGACGGGCAATGCTTATGTGTGAGGTGCTCAGGGAGGCTGTGTGAGGCTGTATGCGGCTGTGTGAGGCTGCCCCGGCATCCGCAGTTTTAAGCACACACGCTGATGGCATGCGAAAGTCCAGCAGTGCTGCTGCATCAAGCTGCCGCCTTCTCCTGTGGGGCTCCTACCAGTGTCCTGCAGTTTCAGCGTAGGTTGGCTTGTTGATGTGATTTCTGGAGAGGTTGGTGTGACTGATCACATCCGCCAAGTGGTCACCACCCTCCCAACGCAAGGTGGATGGGTGGATGCGAGGGGCTGGTTCACCGCAAGAATCCGCTTGTTTCGCCGAAACTGGTAAGAGGACATGCCACAAAAAGTGTTGTGATGGTTGTTTTGCGCTTTGCTCCGATTGGCCTTGGTGTTTTTTGAACAGCGATACCACACTGAAACGACGCACACAACACAAACTAAAGCACAACAAATGCAAAGTCAACTCTCAAAGCAAACCAAAAACCACAAAATGAATGCAAAGCCGAAACAAAAAAACATACACAACAAAAATGCAAGCAGCCAACGCCCAACAAAAAGCCCAAATATACCGCGCTGCATTGATAATTACACTTGACAAGCCTGCATTCTCTCTCACCTCTTCTGTAAGGCTTGCATGCTGTGTGCCATGTAAGGCAGCTGTAGGCTGAGACAGAGGCACAGACTTCAGGGTCATGGGAGGAGTTTCTATGCTGTGCGAGACACTTCTTGCAGGCGGCTCTGACTGCAGCGCAGCGCCTTCTGGGTCCGACATGCAGGTGACGTTGCAATGCTTCGTGGACTGAGGGCTGAGTGGGAAGTGGATTGGAGTGTGTGAGTGCATGAGTGTGTGTGACCGCAGCCATCGACTGCTTCATCCTTGATCGGCTTGGCAAGGACAAGGGCCTCGAAATTGCTTAAGGCACGAGAGTAATCCGTTCTAAGGCTACTCATGTTGTTGCATGGCGTAAGCTCTGGTGCATTCAGGACTTCTCCTATGAACTCTGCGTGGATCAAAATGGAAGAGTTTGGCTTGGGAACTGCCAGAGAGACAGTGCTTCTACTGCAGGCCAAGGGACATGGGGCTGAGACTTTGCAGTGGCTTCGTGGCATTGCTTCAGGCCATAAACAGGAGCTTCGGTACGACGACGATCCAAAGCGAGGCCTGAACCGGCAAATGGGTCTGCTTTGCGAGTATTCCATGCGGGACAATCATCCCTACGCTTTTCATTCTTTTGTGCCTAGCGGCAGGGGCCGGCCCTGCCGACTCTGTAGCCAAGAGCAAGAGACAGCAATAACAACAGTAACCGGCGCAGCAGCTAACAAGGTAACAGGCGAAGCAACTAGCAAGGTAACAGGCGCAGTAGGACAAGAAGTACATCATAGTGGAAGTAGGAATGGTCGGAATAGCAGTGGTGAATGACAGCAGTATAGTAGGGCGAGGAAACGCAAAAACGGACCTGTAATGCTGATGAGAAGCTTTACAAAGCACGAGTGTAATTGAAACTGCCTCTGGGGTGGTTTTTATGAGTTTTGCTTGTGGGTTTTCAGGTCTAGCGCGCGTGCTGGCTTCATGAAGATTACACGTGCATGCTTTTTGTGGTGGTGCAGATGAATGACCGAAAGGTCGGTCACTCGAAAGGCGGTGATGATGCTCGTATAGCTTCCCCCCAGCACACAGAAGGATTTCTGAATCCCCCAGACCCCCCCCAACAACAAACAGAAGAATCTGCTTCGTACTTGGCCATGGTGGGCGTGGTGGGTCTGGACAGCGGTGTCCAGCGCCTTGGCCGCATTCTCCAGACTTACTTCTGCATTTCTTCAGGTGCTGAATCTTCCTGCGTGCTCTCGGGCTAGCACCGATATGTCTTATTGGAAGGTGCTGAAACTTGAGCTTAGCGAAGGTGCTGCAGGTCAGGGAAAGAAGCAGCAGGCGTCAACTAATATCAACTAGCACTTCATCACCGCAGCGATTCACTTTGAGTTTGCTTCATTTCAGGGTTGCGGGCCATGTAGGGACCGAGTTTGAGCTCTTTATGAAGAAGCTCGCAGTCGTGCTGAGGCTAAAATGGCCAGCTTGGAGCCGTTGTCCTTCCTGTGGCGGGAAAAGCTGCCCTGAGGACAGCAGACCCAACCCTGCCACACTCTTGATGGGATTTGCGGCCCCTGCACTGTCAATGTCATTCGAGTGTAACATGCCCCAGAAAACTCCTAAAGCCACACACGATCACACACGTGCAAGGTTGGCGCAAGTGCACACCAAGGGTTGGCGCAAGACGAAGAATTTAATGTACTATAAGCTGATAAGTACAAGTCCGACGAAAGCAATTTCAGATGAAACCCTGCGTGCGCAAGGTCCGCGCAAGCTTTGTGGGCAAGCGCACCCCAAGGGGCATTTCGGGGATGAGGAATATCCTTGAAACCGCGCATGGCACGTCCACCTGTCCGGAACTGAAAGACGATTCCTTTTCTTTTTCTTGCTGAGGTTGGCAAGAGTACCATCTTGCAGGTATACTAGATTGAAATTCAGCAGCCCGACCCAGAGAAGGGAATCGATGCATTGCCAGTGCTGCTTTCGCTGCCCGGTGTGATGCAACATCTGATGCCAGCTTAACTCCAAATCTTGCCAGGATTTGACACCGAGCTCTTCTGGCAGCACGGCCTATGAGGAGTACCGCATGTTCGGATCCTTGTGATGCATCTCTATCACATGTACCACTCAGCGAGAAGCAATGTCCTGCGCCCTTGCAGGACATGCCATGGTACCCAGAACCATCACCAAGCTCTTCTGGCAGTACAACCTTGAAGGAGTCGTGTCGCTCTGACATGCCTTATCCACCCGGCCTGATGTTTTGTAGCAAAAGGACCAGCTGGCAGAGTGCCTCGACTGCGCTGAGCGATGGGGACCGCATATGATCACAGCAAGCACCGGCTTTCAGTCATTTTCTGTTTGGTTTGAACTCCGAGACCCCCCGCGCAGGCTGGACTCAGATGGCGAGCTCGAACTCCTGAGATGGCAAAACTTGTAGCTGAAAGACCAGCTGCAAACAGAGTTCCTTGGAAGCAGAAGCAGGTACTTCTGCACCCTTGTGCGTAACTTCAAGAAGACCAGGAAGGAGAGAGCTCGGAACGACCAGAAACGCAATCTCAAGTTCTACAAGGACAGGGCGGTTCCTGCTTCCACTTTCCGGCATACTTGCGTGATGATGGATGCTAGATGTGGACCGGGCTTCTTGCCTGCGAGGCAGCCTACGCTGGCCTCCTGGACGAAAAGAATCAGGGGGCCGCCGCCACTTGCCATGCACCCTCCATAGTCTCGCACCATAGCATGTTGGTGAAAGTGTGGCACATAGTACAACAGGATATCATGGGCTGTTGAAACTTCTTAGCTTGCAACATCGATTATCGATACCGCAGGGTGAGGCATTAAAGACTTTCACTCTGAGGCTGCCAAGCTGCGCGAGAAGCAGTTGATGGATGAGTTGGAGGAGCGGCAGAAGGAGATCTCAAGGAGGAGCACATTCCGAAGGTGTCCTGGTCCATCGCCATTCTTGCTTGCGCTTACTGTTGCTGCAGGATGCGAGAAGAGCTGGAAGCCCGACAGCTTCGCTGCAGCATTGCGATGATCCATAGGTGCCATAGGTCGCCGACCACAGCAGCCTCATGCCAGTGCCATGATTTGGTAGACAAGGACCATGCGACAGGAAATCGAGCGTGGGTGGAAGCAGCATGTGGAGGATCTAGAGAGTGCTTTAGTGGCTGAACGCAAGATTCCTGGCTGCAGCCTTGCATTGATATCCGGGTTTTTTGGCCACCGACGTGGGGTTCCGCTTCCAAGCAGTGACCACAGCGGCATGCTGCAATGTTCGGTTCAACATCTAAGAAATGCTGCGAGCAGCAAGAGCTTCATCAAAGGTGCTTACACAACGGCACTGCCTTCCCCACCAACATGAGCCTGACCTCCTTGCAAACGTGGGATATCAATTTTGCAAACCACCTTCCAAGCACTGCTAAACTGCAAAACCAACTGCATGTGGAGCATGTGGAATCTTTACAGCTCCAAGTTGTACTGCCTCAGGAAGGGCCAAACGCAGGGCGTGAAGCCCCCGAGAGTGTCTGGGCTCAACTCTGTACGATCGTTACTGACTGTAAGACTCACCGGTGGCTTTCATGTGTTTTTTGCTGTGGGGCCGGGCGCAACATGTAGGCAACCAGCCACGCCGCACTCCAGACCCAGCGACCTGACTGAAGCCTGATGAGCGCGTGACTGTGATCATTCCCATTTTTGCTGCAACGCTGCCTACGAGGGTCACAGGGATGCCGGCCTCCTCCCAGAAAGCCTGCAACAAGGCTTGCCAGACAGACTGCCAGGACAGGTTGCGACCTCTAGCTGAGAGAATTGGCAGACAGAGCCGCGCAGGATGAGCCTGGCATGGGCCCTGCGGCGACACGTGCTCCGTGCGCACGCGCTTCTGGGCCTAGAGACTGTAGTGTGCTTGCGTGAAACTGGTATGAGCTGTAGCTCAGACGCAAGCTGGTCATTATTGAGTGTTGTTTGGTTGCCCGAGGTTGGTTGTGGAGAGTGGGATCCCCACAAGCTTCTTTTGCAGCTTGGTCTCAGAAGCTTCAAGAAGAATTGTTGGTTGTAAGCGTTGAAGGCGAGTGTCCTGACGCGCTGCTCTAAGGCCTGGCCTATTCCCATACCTCTCCGCTGCTTGTCTGTGATATTTTGGGTGCACAACAGCCTTGCATGCCGGACACAGCACAACATTTTGTTGTTCCCAGTGCCCGCAGGTGGGGGACATCTTGAGCTGGCGCCTGACATCCCGGCAGACCAGGAGCCCCGAGGCAACGGAGTCACGAAAGGACATGGATCTACTGCTACAAGTCAGTGCAGTGCAGTTGGAGCGAGATACGGAGCACGTGTTGGGAATGAGGCGTTGCTGCAACACGTGGCTGAGATGGGAAGCTTCGAGAGGCATGTTTGGGTCCTCCACATGCTCTGGGTGCAGCCACTTCCCTCATGCCCACAGCTTGTGCTGCACAGGCCCTCGTCGATCGTGGAGCATTCAGATGCTATGGAGCGGTACGCACAGAATCGAGGTTCAAGCTCCGCGAGCATCGTTTCTGGTGATGCCGAGTGGTATAAGTTGTGCGGCTGCCTCTTGGTTTGGTTGATAGCACGCAACTGTCAACACAGTAAGATGACAGCAAGATGTTTGTTCCTTCAGTATCTTGTGTATCTCGAGTTCCAGCCATTGTAAGCAGCCCTCCTTCTTCACATTGCTCGATAGCTTTTGCATTTGAGGTCGAAATTGGTGCATGGCGCTGGCCAACGCCAGAACAACCCATTTTGCTGAACATGCCGTGAACAGCATGCTCTCCAAGAACATTGGGTATTTGTTGGAGGGCACCCGTGCTGTTGACGAAACCATGCGGTTGGCCTCCCATCACATACTTGGCAACCACTGTCCATGTGGCCTGCCGGTGGTGCACCACCAGATCTCCGAAAGCATGCTAAATCGTTTGGGGGAGCTTCTGAAAGACCTGCCGTCCGAAACAGCAAAACTTGAGGCCGTTTGGCGCAAGATACACTCTTGCAGAAAGCATCTCCAGCAGATCCTGCGCTCCTTGATGAAACCTCAGAGGCAGAAGTGGGTGTCTCTTTTGGTGAAAGTCTTGCACGGTATGGAATGGGCACCAACTTCGGTCCACAAGATCGTTCTTGGAGATTTACTTCTCCTCTGGCGAGCTGATGACAATCCCCGTCGAACATATGCAGAGGCCCTTCAGCAGCTCGAGGCCTTGAAGAAGTCCCCCAGATTTCAGAACGTGAGGGTTGATTTCTTTTACCTTGAGGCAGAGGGCTGACATCTGTGAGAAAAAGGCAGCACAGCCACAGATGAGCCCACCGTCGGCCTTCCAATATGCTCCCTCCTGCACAAGTACTTGGATGTTCTAGCTTTTGCCAGGACACGATCTGGAACCCCTGGAGAGGCGAGAGGCCGACAAGCAAGCCGTTTGTGTCTTTACATGTCTAGGCTGGGCGAAGATCACGCCAGCGTACTGGGTTGACTGAATGAGGGAAATCTCAGAAGCACCGCATTCTTGTCATGCTTGCCGATTACTGGACCTTTCTCCTTGCAGCTATTGCGTCAACTAGTATCAACAACCAACGTTTTTCCATAACTTGATTCTTACCGTCGACCATGCCACAGGCGTATATTTGTACGCCATGGGACATGGAGGCCTGTCGATCGAGGAGGGCTGAGGGGGGGTTGAGGTGGGGGCCCTCAACCCCGCTTGCTCAGGGTGCCTTGCCCAGTACCTGTCTGCGATTGAGGTTCTCAGATTCTGAGCACAAATCCCCCTGTTGGGGCCCTTCTGTGGGAATGCCAGGGCTTAGGGATTTCAGGTTGTTTGGCGTTTTTTTGGGTGTAGGGCTTAGGGTTTAGGCTTTCGAAGGGGTCAAGGGTTGCTATGTCAACACAACCCGAACCAGAGACTGTTCTGTGTAGTGTGTTTATGCTGTTATGATGGGCACCCATGCTTCTCCTCGTGAGGGCATGTGGTAAGCCATTACCGCCAACGCCCGTTGGCTCAAGAACGAGCTCCGGCTCTTTACTCCGCAAAGAGCGATAGCTTAGGAGTAGTCCAACTTGGTATTGCCGTACTGGTGGCTAACACAACATCGCACGTCAGTCCTGCCTGCAAGACTGGAAGATCTTTCCGGCCTAGCGGAAAGGGAGTGCGCGGGATTGAGTGTGGCACAGCGTTCAAGTGGGAGAGAACCAGCACTGATTATTGGGTCTTGTGAGATCCGCACCCCCACGCAGGTTATCAGCCGTACGCTTTAGTGCGGCTACCAGTGAACGCACACAACATGGCCAGCCAAAACTCGTCTTCGAGTGCGGATAGTTGCGGATGTATCATGCCATGTTTGACAGTGCGTTCTTGTGCACGGTCCGCGTGTTGCCATCACCTGTTGTAATGTACGCGTTGGTCACAAATAACACTGCTCTGGACAGCGAAGCGCACTTCTACGTCAGCTACAGAACAATCTGGGCTTGGGTGCGGACGACGATGCAACAACGGTGAGGACGCAGCCTACGCTGGTGCTCATGGATTTCGAAGCGTGGTCGAAGAACAAGCAGGTGAAGTCGACTTTGACAAAAGGTTTGACCGACAAAGCATGGTCTGATTTGGTCGCGTTCACATCGAATCCAGAGCACGGAGGCCTCAAAACGGCAGCCATGAGGGCAGTGGCGCAGTGTCATGAATGGGGGGAGCATAAGACGGGACTGGCAACGTGCCATGTGTTCCTGTCGCTCTACTCCCTTCCAGTTCGCACAATGGTCGAAGAGGAGATCTTGGAGGAATACGTGAACCCCATTCGGGACGTTGCAAAGCTCTTGCCGAGGGCCACGATCATCACCATCAATGATGACCCGAGACTCAATGGCATGCCAGCGAACTCTCCGATGAACAAAATCGCTATCAATTTCATCGCAATGGAGTTGCGTGCTTCCGGTTACGTGGTCTTTACTTCCTCACTGCTGTGGGCTCGGACCTGTCATCTCTTCGATGGAAAAGCACCACACCGAGTACACGCCGATTCTATGTACTCCATGGTGGCAAGCTTCGACAAGTTCCCCATGCGTGAGAAGTTGCTGACGGCGTGCATGCTGAGGCAACCATTACTTGAGGAGTGCGAGGAGAACATCGAGGCCTACAACACGACCGGGACGGAGCAGGCACAGTTTGTCTTTGCGCCACGGGAGAGTGAGCTGAAGCTGGCATGGGATATTCCCGACCAAGCTGAAGCGCAGGAGGAAAGAGATCGAACCATGGCAAGAACGCTGGAGATGACCGCTGAGGTCGGCCCAGAGGGTCCAACGTGGCATGAGATGGATGTGAGTTTGGTCACTCCAGAGCCATACTATGACAGAGAGACGTACTGGATCAACCTGAAGGCAGAGTCATACAACTCCAGGGAAGTGCAGAAGGGCAAGTTCTATGTTTGCACCGAGTGCGAAATGGAGTTGGGAAGACCATTGACAGGGGCTATTCAGGAAGGACAGCGCTCTCATTACTGCCCGTGCTGCGCCAACAAAGCCATGTGGAAGCGTGATTACAGATGCCGAAGTTGGAGCGAGGTTTCGGACATGGAGAGGAAAGCGGAAGCATGCGCGAGGTACGCGTATCTCAATGACTTCAAAGACGAGAATGGTGCATTCATCATCCCCAAGCATGACCTCAAAGAGTACGTCAGGTACTGCTCGCGGTTAGCTTACAAGGAGTACGGCAAGACGATTTCGTCCTGCAGCGCTTTGCGTCTTTCGAAGAACCAAGCAGTTGAGTACACTGAACTGGGCAAGGCGAGGTGCTTGTCATGGAACCTTGCGATGACCCAGGACCACATCACTTGCGTCATGCCCATGTACGACCCCGGGAATGCTGCGTATGCCGGACACATGAAGTGTTTGTTCAGCGATGAGGAGATTCGGGAGATGTTCTATGACAACGCGAATCCTCCTGCGGAAATCCTGGGCGATGTCTTCGAGATAGCCATTGGAATGATGGCGATGGCCCTTCGCAATCCGGATCTGTACAAGCGATGGGGGCACGCAAATGATCATCTGTCTTGTTTGCGTGGTTTGGAGAGGTCATTCTACAGGTACGCTGCAGCTGAGTCGATTTCCATCATGGCCATTGAGAACAGAAAGCGCAGACCTCCAAAGAACAATTCTGCTGAGGAGGAAGCCGCTATTCGAAAGTTGTCCGAAACAATGCCTGGTGGCTACTACGCTGTTCTCACAGAACGTGATCCACTTCCGACCAAGAAGAGAGACAAGTTCCACACCGAGAGACGACTCTCCTGAGCAGTTCTCTTTTGCCCTCTTCCGGAAGAAAGGCCGATTCTGGGAGAAGAACCTGATGAAGAAGCGCCTCTGGAGGATGATCCGTTCGCCTCGCGCGGCGGTGAAACCGTGGATGAGCCAAAAGAGGATGAAGGTGGAGAACCCGAAAGCGGAGACGCTACCGGGGAAGCCGAAGGGGAACCATTTGCCCAGAGCAGTGGTTTGTTTCCGCCCAGAACTACGTCTGCGTTGCGTGTGGGGCTGATGATCACGGTTGGCGTGACTGCGCCGCGAACAACGCAATGAACATGACCATCCTTGGCGAAGCCTTCAATATCATCGAGCAGAGTCTCCGCAACTACGCAGGACCAAGAAGAACCCCACCACCGAGGATCACTCTGCGGACAGCCGCCGAAGTTGCAGCAACTGAAGGATCAGAGGAGCAGGCTCCGGCATCTTCTTCCAGCGCATCAGCGTCGAGGACGCGCGTCAGTATTGATGAGCAGCCTGAAGTGGTGATCATCGAAGAAGAAGAAGAAACGAGGGAGGATCCTTCGAATGTGCCGCAACCTGCAAGGCCGACGACAAGGTCGAAGGCAATGCCTAAGCCGAAGGCGAAGGTCATGTGTAAGGCTCCTCCGCCTGGCTGGGCAGGGCGACCTATACCAACTCGGGTGGAACCTGAGGCTAAAGTGGCGCCTAGACCACCTCTACCACGTCGTCGTCCACCTCCATCATCCGATCCGTGGGTCAGATCCAGCGTTCCTGAAGAACGAAGGTCACACTTTGAAGTCAGGTACGATGAACCTCGAAATTGCTTGGACATCATCGAAGATGAGGAGAATCGTGACTGGATTGATGCTACCTCTGGTTTCATGTGGAACATTGATTGGAAAGCACACCCACAAGGAGGCCACGGAAAGCGTGGAAGAAATGGCCGGTGGCGATATGTCCTGTCATCCGCTGCGCGGGGACGCCAACGCCCTGCCGTCAACTACAAAAGGCTACGTCAACATAGCCAGCGGTGTTGAAGGCGGCGACTTGAGGATGATCCCGCGGCTTGGGGTGACCTACGCTGATCAACGGTGGACAGCAATGAGGAGATCCGACACTGGAGCTCGTCGCGAAATGTGGGACCATCGTCTGCTTGAGAGATCTGGGAGGAGAGTGCAAATCGTCCTTCGACATTCGGCCCGGACAGGTATTACTTCCGACCAGTCAAGAGCGATGAAGCAGGATGGGTTCTGCTCGAGGAGCTTCTTAGCGACGATTTGCTGTGGTTGAGGATCATTGGCGCAAGGTCAAGTTCCCGTGGTGGTCTTGACAGATCAGAAATGCAGCGCCGATTGCAATCATTGATTGACTACAACAACTACATCTTTCAGATATTTCCAGTTCTTGGGGGTTCGAGTCGTTGCTCCACGCCCGAATCAGACGGCGTCAGATGACCCGTCTCACGCTGGTACAACCCGATGTGTCAGCAAAACGGTGCAAGTGGCCGAATTGCTACAAGGAGAATTCACGTTCGACGTCAACCAGGAGTACTTGACGGAAACGGATGAGTGGATCCGGCCATGGGCCGTCAGAGCAACGAGCAGTCATTCATCAGGGCCTTCGGCTACCATGCGATTGGACCACACGAAGACTGCGTACTTCCTGAGCAGGGAACTTGCAGAGGAAATTGGTGGAGGTTATCACGCGTCGTCCATCATGAATTTGAAGAACATCGTGGAGAATGGCATCATTCCTGGTGGCGTGAGCTACGCTTATGGAGGGATGCGGAACCAAACGCATTTTGGTTGCTTCGCGCCGTGGGACGACAGAAACCGCACCACAAGGACGTCTGTGCCAGGGAACTGGAGAACTCCACTTCTCGTCCTATATGTACCTTGGGATACTCTCATCCGGTATGGCGCCACAATCACGGCGAACGCGGTGTATCTCCTAGAGAGGACACTGCCGTTTAGCCAGATCCAACACGCTTGGATTGCCATTCCTGGGAGAAGGTGGGGGAAAATCGACAGCTACTTCAAGATCTACTCCAAGAAATTGGCTGATGAGCTGGTCGATGGTGCGTGTTATCCACGAGTCAAACCACCGGAATACCCAAGAGTAGACACGGACGTTGCCATCGAGATTCTCCAACAGCTCGAACCTGGCGCTCACACCGCAGAACGGGATGCCATCGTGAACGTGTTGCGCACAGTGAGACCTGGTGATCGGGCATCTACTGACCAAATCAAGTTGGCCATGAGGTTCATTGCCAGGCACTTCAAGGGCGAAGCCACTCGAGACGGAACCCCTGGCGCGGCGCCTACGCGTGATGTCCTCGATGCCTCAATCAAACCAACTCCGAGCTCTCCATATGCATTCATTGCTTCCGATGCTTCGTATCGTGCGGCAACTCCAGGAGGGTTCGGCAAGCCGGCCCGGTTGTGGATGTTGCAGATGAGGAAATTGAAGCAGCCATGGGACAGGCTGAGCAAGACACAGCCCAGGAGACCGTGGACGAAGTTGTGGAGGTTGAGGATGGTGGTGGCGTTGCTCCGCAGCAAGTGTCGCCAGAACGTGAAGACGGCGAAGGTGACATTGCAGAACCAGAAGCGGAGATTGACATTGATGAGGAGGTCAGGGAGCTTTACGCTAACGGTGGTGAACCCGAAGAAGAAATGATAGAAGAGGGTGGCTTCGATGCATTTGTCCTCATCGGCGACGAAGAGAGCGGTACTACGCAGTTGCAGCGTGACACTGCTCGCGCCACCGTGGCTCTCGAGTTTGAGCTGCACATGGATGGGGGGCATGCAGTGTGCATTGACGCGCGCTCCACCCTTTACTGCCACCTTGATGCATTCGTGGGTTTCGTCTTGTGCAACATTTGGAACACGGTTGAGAAGATCATCAAGATGCCGTACAACCAGTTGGAGCCCAGATTCAAGGAAGGCATTCGGCACGATGCGATCGGTAAATGGCCAGCAGTGGAGATTGATCCCGAAACTGCAGGGACCTAACCGATGACGACTTCGAGCAAGAAAGTCAGAACTCGGAGGAGACGAGATGGAGGGCCCATAAGTACCGGTTCATGAAGCTCATCTTCAAGTTGATCCGTGGGTGCCTTGCGCTGGGCATCCCAAGAGATCACTTCAAATGGGAGAAAGCCGAACACAGCACCATTGAGCAAGGGAGAGATCAAGAGAATCGCCTTCATTTGGTGATGAATGACCTCTACTACAAGGTGTTGGGTGTTAGACTCTATTCCTTCTCGCAGTCTGGAAGAAGTAACGTAATGTTCTTCAACCCAAGCATGCTGCTGTCTATTCTCGACCACAAGAAGACCCAGGTGGAGACTATCTTGGCAGTAAGAGATTTGGGATTCGAACTTCCTCGTTATCACCAGGCGAAGTTGGAAAACTGGCGAGCGGATCAAGCCCGTAAGCCTATGGAAGCAATGAGGCTGAGGCCTGCTGACTGGATGATCAACCCAGGTCAATCCTACGCAGCAATTGGTCACGAAGGACCCCCTCCTCCGGCTCCTATGGCAGGGATGAATCCGCGACCTGACCTTGCGGAGACAGATATGCCTGCGAGGGCAAAGGCGCGAACCAGCGGGCCCGAGGCCATGCCGAAAGCGCCATCATCGTCAGCGAGCCCGTCCGGACTACCTCATGTCCCTCCTACAGTTGGTCCGCCAAAGGCATGGCAAGGACGTGGAAAAGGCTCAGGAAACACACGATCACCAGAGACTTACTACAATCGCGGTGACGGCCGATGGTGGTGATTCGTGCTAAGCAATTGATGTCCTGATCGAGAATGGCATTGCGAATGTTTATTGTGGATGTTGCTTTCCTTCAAGACGACATGTGTCGGATGAAAGGTTTCTTTTATGGCCACCATCTTCGGATGGCAGTGGAGCAATGTGCCAATGCGTTCACTGGAAGAAATTCTGAAGTTCGTGGTTCGCTTTTCAGCTCGCTGGAAGTGAATGGTACGTTGTTGTCTGCGAGGAGCAATTCCATGCAATTATGTGCCGGCCATGGTGAACTACGGGAGCGAATCTACTTGCTTTCGTTTACGTGTAATTGCACGAGCGGGATCGCAATGTAGAGGGTAGAGTTTCTTAATTTTCCAGTTCGAACGGGCAACTGGCGACAGAAACAAATAATTCAGGACTGACAAGTGCACTTTATACGGGCGGCGGTTGTACAATGTGTAGGGATGCTACGTTTTTCCAGCAACACACAGATGTGCATGACTCACTATGAGACCTATGATGCGAAGCGTCATGCATGGGGGGTGTCAACACAACCCGAACCAGAGACTGTTCTGTGTAGTGTGTTTATGCTGTTATGATGGGCACCCATGCTTCTCCTCGTGAGGGCATGCGGTAAGCCGTTCCCGCCAACGCCCGTTGGCTCAAGAACGAGCTCCGGCTCTTTACTGCAAAGAACGATAGCTTAGGAGTAGTCCAACTTGGTATTGCCGTACTGGTGGCTAACACAACATCGCACGTCAGTCCTGCCTGCAAGACTGGAAGATCTTTCCGGCCTAGCGGAAAAGGAGTGCGCGGGATTGAGTGTGGCACAGCGTTCAAGTGGGAGGGAACCAGCACTGATTATTGGGTCTTGTGAGATCCGCGCCCCCACGCATGCTAGGGTTTTGGGTTTAGGGTTTAGGGTTTAGGGCTTCCCAGGCCCTGTCTCCCGAAGCGTGGGACCACGAAGTGCCTGCAAGCCAGGCAGCGCGGACATCCCGGAGCGGCAGCGCGGGGCCCAAATCGTTTTGGTTTAGGGTTTCGGGTTTAGGGTTTCGGGTTTAGGGTTTAGGGTTTGGGGTTTAGGGTTTCGGGTTTCGGGTTTAGGGTTTCGGGTTTAGGTTTAGGGCGGTGGGGGGGGCACTCTTGTCGACAAGCCTTGAGTTCGACAAGCCCTTGAGTTGCCCTAAAACTTGGAAGCTTTTCAAAGGCCCGGTACAAAAACCTTCAGGGCCTACTGCCCGAAGCTTCCCATCATCCCAAGCTGGCACTTAGAGGAACATCGTGTCGAGCTGCTGGGCGGGAAGCAGAATGCGGTGTTGTTGGTGAGGTGGCTTGCAGGCGGTTGGCGGTGCAGAAGGGCTTGGGGATGTCGTGTTGATCAGCTCGGCCAGACAACGCCCATCATCTCTCAAGTGTCAATGCAGTCCTTCCAAGGCCAGCTGCTAATGCAGCCACACTGGGGAAACCAAAGCGCAGCTCGAAAACTGCATGGGTGGCTGCCTCCCCGTCGAGCAGGAGCATGGAAAGATTGGTGATGCAAGAATCTTAGTGCGGACGCGACGGGCACCCACCGATACACCGATCCACCCAAAGCCCCGCGCGGAGAATCACCGATGCGTTGCACCGACGAACCGATACACCGAAACTCCGCGCACCGAGATGCCGACGCACCAACACCTCGCCGGCATTGATCCCAGCGCGCTTTTGTCTTTTCGGTTGTGCGCTGTGTTTGCATGTCGCTTACATCAACGAAGGCTGACATGTAGAGTTGACTGTGAATACATCATCTTGACCGAAAAAGAAATTCGGATTGTCAGAGAGTTCTTGCTTAACCCAACATGGCGAGTTCAGATGTGTTGCTTTCGCGCTGGGGGTGCCCTCCCGTTTTTTCTATTGAGGGTTCCCGAGTGCGCCTCGTAAGTTTCCGATGTAGATAAGAAAACGAAGGCTGCAGGTTGCGGGAAGAACCTTGGTACGCCCAGCCATGGAGGTCATACCCTGTGGATTTGGGGTGCTTGTGTTGCCCCGATCATGAAATGGAGGTTAGACCCTGTTTCTGATTCTGGCGCGCATTGTTCTTTTCGCATCATGCAGCCTTCCTTCCTCCGGCACTACTTCTCATAATTACATCGTTTTTTCATCAAATCTCGAGATATTAATATTCTAGAATTTAGCACTATTTCGTTACAATATGATTTCTTACAAACAGAGATTGTTTGGCACGAATTTTATTATGATATGGAGGTACTTTGAATTTCGATTTGATTCGAATCATGATACAATATAAACTTTCTGTTCCGAGATGAAATTTTCGGAGATTATTTCTTGATGTATATAAGAGATGAAAATTTCATATGTTTCTGAACGAAGAGTCGATAAGGAAGATGCGACATCTACGTTCCAAAGCACGAAGTTGACGGCTTGTACGTCCAAAAGTCCCCAGTCCCCCAGTAAGGAAGATGATTATGATTTGCATCGGGCTATGCTTTGGATTTCTTTTTCCAGTTTCTTGGAGTTGATATCTGACAACGAGTTCATATATGAAAGACATTGAGATATAGACACTAGAATATAGACTATGGGGTCGATATTATACAATTCCCAACAGCGGCTACCCTTATGGGGTCTAGAATCTGAAAAGCAAAGGCGTAGTGACCAAGGCTTCGGGTAACGGGTTTTCGAGAGTGTAAGGAATGTGTTTGCGCGTGACTGCAGAACCTGGATCTAGCGTCCGAAATTAAAAGTCATCTATCTTGGGGGGCGGTGCGAGATCGCAGCAGGCTTTTCGCCGGAACATGTCTGTTTGCGCACGGGGAGAGTGTGAGAGATCTGAGTGAACTCGCGGTGTGAGAACACGTGTGCTCGTAGTGTGAGCAGCTTTTTGTCGTATGAGCATGGCGTAGCCAAACAAAGCCGTTGCCGAAGACAGTCCCTGGAATGTACCATGACTGTGGTGTTGCTCAAAGGCACAAACCGCAAACAAAGACGTTTGCGAAAACAGTCCCTGGAATGTGACATGATTATTATGGTGTTGCTCAAAAACTCAAACCCCAAACAGAGCCGTATCCGAAAGCAGAGCGAACTTAGCAAGATGTTGCCTGTGTAGCTCGCCCGCTGATGCACTTTCTTTGAACGTACCAGCACACATCATCTCACAACTTTCACGGGGCAGTCTGAGCTGTGAAGTCAGTAAAGCTCTGCTATTCTTGTGAACGTGCTTTCTTGCGCATCTCCTGATTAGGAGTGGAAGTACATAGTAAATCTCTGATGCCGCGAGCGCATTCTGCCCTTGGGATCGGGACTCCCAGTGAGAGTTGTGAGATTAATAGAGGGCTAGCCAGGTTTGTGGTTGTGGGAGGTAACATAGTTTAGGAGTTGAAGGGCTTCAGGTTGGTTGAGGGCTTAGGCCTTCAGGGCCGAAGCGGTCCTTGGCCTTGATCTTGGGCTCTTTGTCCGCCATGTGGGGCCGGCACTCCGCAGCTGCTTACGTGGCTGCTGTATGATCCGAAGGAGATTCCATGTCGTTCCTTGTCATCCTTGTCCAGTAAGGCTTGCAGCGCTTTTCGTTTGAGCCGCTCTTCTTGCAAGGAGAAGGGAGCTGGAAGCGTCAGCGCACGCAGCTGCAGCGTGGACCACGGCAGCACTACCCCGATTATGAGTCTTGAGGTGTCATTGAGACATGCTACAAGCTGGCGGATGTTTTCTCATCATATAGCTAGATTCTTAGATGTGCCGTTTGGTTCCAAACTCGTGATTCCTCCGGCTTATTTGCGAGGTGAGGTGATCAAAAAATTGTAGTTCTACCAGAATTTCGCGCAAAAATGAATAATTATTCGGACACAATTGTGAAGTCACGAAGTTGACCGGTCAATGTTGTGTGGCTTGACATGATAGGCGACGTTGCTTCAAAGCAAGTTCAGACTTTTTTGGGTCAACGAAATAGTCGGACAGTTGTGACGTGACGAAATTGACCGGTTCATGTTGTGGGGCCAGCCAAAAAGAGGCGAAGCATTCGTATTCAGCAAGTATTTATTTGGCCTCTTGAATATTTGCTCTTGAATATTTGAGAAAGAGAGATCTCTCTTTTTTTTGGACTTGCGTTTTGGCATTTTGCATCTGTACTGCTTTCTTGCAATTCGTGCTCAGGGTTTAGGATCTGCTTTGCAATCCATACTTGTGCATTTAACTTAAAACCGACCAAAAAACAAGGTAAGGATTTAAAACCCTATAGGTCCGGAGGTTGTAAATAACACAATTTTTGGTTGGTTTTAAGTTTAATCTCAAACTGTGAACGCAAATCCTTAGAATTAGACCATCAAGCCCTAAATCCTAAATCCTATAGGGTTTAGCATGTAGGACGTCGGGGCTAACGCAGAATTCCTGGAACAATGACTTATTCGAATAATTGTGAAGTCACGAGATTGACCGGTCAATGTTATGGGACTTGACATCACAAGGGAGGGGCGATATTGGGGATGCTGAAAATCTCTTTAAAATTATTTCACTCTTTTTGGATCAACGAAATATTCGGACGGTTGTGACGTCACGAATTTGACCGGTTGATGTTGTGGGGCCAGCCAAAAAGAGGCGAAATATCGCTGCAAGTAAGTGGCAGGGCTAGGCCAACAGCGTTGCAGGGCTAGGCCAACAGCGTTCCCTCTTTCCCACCTTGTTCACCCATCACACCTTGAGACCCTAACTCTCATAAACTAAACCAACTTCTCTCACTGGACCGCTATGAACTACCCACAATGGCTTAGAAACTAGACGATAAACCTTTATTGACCATTGGTACGTAGTTTATCCATTATCTGTTCTCTCTTGAAGTTAGCACATTGAGGCACAAATCACCCATTGACATGCGGAATGTTAAAACCATGTTAAAACCCTTTCAAGCCGGGAGGGGCAGGGGTTTGATACCAGAGGGAAAAGATCGTGCACTCCCACTTCTTCTATATGGTTTGCATGCTGCATGCCATGTAACACAGCTGTAGGCTGGGACACAGGCGCAGATAATAGGATCATGGGTGGAATTTCTCTGCTGTGCGCGGCGCTTCGTGGGCGGCTCTGACTGCAGCGCAGCGTCTTCTAGGTCAGACCTGCAAGTTGAGGTTGCAATGCTTCGTGGATTGAGATGAGAGCTTGGTGGGACGTGGCGTGGAGTGCGTGAGTGCACAAATCTACGTTTCGGCAGCGATCGCGTGCTTCATCCTTGATCGGCTTGGCAAGGACCTCGCTAATGCTACTCAGGTTGTTGCATGGCGCAAGCTCTGGTGCATTCAGGACTTCTCCTATGAGCTCTGAGTGGGCCTCTGGCACGCACTGCCAGAGAGACAGTTCTGACAGTGCTTCTACTGCAGGCCAAGGGACGGGGTGGGGCTGAGACTTTGCAGTGGCTTCGCGGCATGGCTTCAGGCCACAAAGAGGAGCTGCGGTATCACGACGATCGAAATCGAGGCCTGAACTGGCAAACGGGTCGGGTTTATGGTTTGAGAGCGGTTCATGTCAGCTTCGAGTACATAGTGGCAGGTCTGCATGACATGGCTTGAGCCGCTAGATGCCGCTAGATTCTCGGCTGCTTGCTTTTGTTCAGTCAACCTGCGTTCAGCTGCCATCCAACAATGTCGCCAACCTGTTCTCGCTTGAGGAATGATTATTTAGCCTTGTGTTTCCAGGACAGCAGCTGTTCTTGGAGAGCTTGCTCTGCCTGCTCTGTCCAAAGAAGATGATTGCAGGAGCTGCATGTTGCGGCGTGCTGCGCATCCCGTCGAAAAAGCCTGTCTGTTGTGGAACGAGGAGGTACACCTCTGACCGAAACGGTATCGTGGTGGCGGGTATCAGCCCTTGGGCACAGGTTTAGGCATCGAGTCTACGGGATGAGTCGTGATTGCAGTGGCCTTGTCGTTTTAAATATCGTCTGCATCGTTGTTGCATGTTGTTGCATCGCTTGCAATCTTTCTACAGAGCTTGAAGTCGTCGAATCATCGACTCTTTTCAGATACTGTATATAAGATGTATACGAAGCTCATGACTCACGACTGTACATTGTTACATGTGTTACTTGCAGCCAACGTGCTATGCTGATCGCATCTGATCGTTACAACATTGCAACAAAGCACGCCGGGTGTATTTGTTTGATTGGACTGTCGCGTTGCGGCCTTTCTTCCTCGGCCATGGTGGGCGTCGCGTCTGGACAACCATGTACCACTGCATCCGCCAAAGATACTTCTACCTCTCTTCCGGTGGTGAAATCTTCCTGCACGCGCTCTGGCTAGCACTGATATGTCCTCCGTGTGGCAACAGCCCGGTGGTGTGGTGATGCCCCTCTGCTGTGTCGAGCTGCCAATGACAGACGTGTGAGGTCTATCTTGAATATGCCTCTGCAAGAGCTGACCACACCAAGGCGGCCTGCCCAAAATCACTCAGTCTTCTGTCCGCTGCCGTGT